AAGTACTTAAGGAAATTCCTGTTTCATTTTCCTCCGTGGTCTGACATTGTCATATATATATATATATATATATATATATATATATATATATATATATATATATATATATATATATATATATATATATATATATATATATGTGTGTGTGTGTGTGTGTGTACAGAATGGTCTACATATTCATATTGTTCTACAGAAACTTCTTCTCCACGTCCTACAAAGCGGAGGAAAGAGCCCTAAAGGAGATCACTGAGAGAAACGTTACCCCAACAGACATCAACTAAAAGATTAAACTAACAATATATTATAAAAGTAAGAAAACCGCCAACCTGCTAATGAAGAATTCTCCCGACACCAAGAAAAACGATTTAAAAGAGACCAACGTTATCTACGCCTTCACATGCCCACTTGGGCATTTTATATATTAATTATTAATTGTCAGCCCCAACGAACTCAATATATAGGCAAGACAACAAACAACGTCCCTCTCTAGGCGATTAACAATGCACAAACAACAGGGCTCCATCAAGGAACATATAATCGTCCACACACAACGAGACGATCACCAGGGATATTTTGACGAGCAATACAGAAATAATTGATAGATACAATGGCAATAGAAGACTAGACATCAGTGAAGCGCTGTATATCAACAAATCTAGACCAGCAACTAACCAACTAATCCACAGTTACACTCTGCCCACTTCAAGACCCCGGGCCAACGCAGAGGCTGGACCGAATGACCCTGCAACAGGAACGGAAGCAATCAGAAGAACATAAGCTGTCATCATGTCACATGTTGATATATTTAATACCTTATTAATATTCCCAATGTAATGTCATGCAACCGTATGTCACCTAACCACCTTATCATAAGAGGATATAAACAGGTGCAAAGCACAATAGATTCGTACTAATAGGTCCAACACTGGCAGTGGTTTTTTGCTTTTGGTTTCGCATATGTGAAGAAATATTTTTGGTTTTTCTTTATTTCTTTAATTGCTTTCTGTTCTAGTTGCCTTTCTTCGATCTGATATGAATGCTTCAGTCTCTGCCCGATTTCTTCATTCTCCCTGTTTAAAGTATTCCTTCTTTGTAAGGAATGTCGTGTCTGCTTAAACATTTCCGGTATTTTTTCCATTCCTTCTTTTCTAGTGTTGTCTTCGACTACTTAATATTCGGAAAGCTGTTCACTGCCTCAAGTAGTTGTGCTCGTCTCATCCTGAGAAGGTCCCGTAATTGTTGATACACTACAGCTTCCTTGTCATTCTGTATCATACTCTTGCTATATTTTTAGTTTAGATTTTGCAATTAAGTTTTGGTCTTCATACTATAGAATGGACATAAATTCACTTGATAACGAAATTCATTCTTCGCTGAACTCGTTCATCAAGTTAATCTAGTTCATAGGAGGAAAATTATTCCTAGGAACTAGAAATCTTTTATAAGAAGAGAGATTGAGAAAGTTTAATTTATATTCTCTAGAACGGTGAAGAGTCAGAGGTGAAATGATTGAAATGCACAAGTAGATGAAAGCGGTATAACAGAGGAGATGCTAAAGATGTTAAATAGTGTTGATAGATGATATAGAGATGATATACAGTATAGTGTTAAATATATATAAAATCAAATAGGACACGAACAATGGAGACAAATGGGAAAAGTTAGATTGAGGAAGGACCTGGGAAAATACTGGTTCGGAAACAGGATTGATTTATGGAACAAATTACCGGGGTAATTTGGGACCGATAGATTGTTTCAAGCGTGGGTTAAACATTTTTATATGAAAGTTTAGGAGGGAATAAATAGGAGCTGCCTCGTAGGGCCCCGCAGGCCTTCTGAAGTTTCCTTAATTCTTGTTCTTATGACAAAATATTTGATTATATTTTACCTAAAAACTTATCACTGGCAAAAAAAAGGAGAATGAGGTCCTTTGTAGAGACCAAACAATCACAGTTAACTGATAGAGAAAGAATGCATCGAGGCGGCTCAATAAGACAATTAAGCCACATCGCAATAGAACTACTTAAGATGCAACGGTTTCTGATAAGTGATGGAGTTACAGAAGCTGAAGACACCAGCTAAACAAAACAGGAAGGAGATTGAATGGGCATACCCAAACATGCAGGAATTCACAAGAAATGTTGAGCAAGAAAATAGAATATTTATGTATGAAAGATAACAGAATAACAATTTTAGAACAAAGTAATAATCATATTACAAGAAACTTCAAAGCTCTTGCCAAAATTTAGTAGGAGGAGATTAGAGGCCCCCAGTGCACGCTCTCAAACTTTGAAATGAGGCGAGGGAGGGAACTATCAGAGTAGAGCGCCAAGGCATTACGACTATATAGCACCTGGAAGGGGTCAGGATAAGGATTAGGGATGGGACGGAGGGGAAGGAATGGTGCCCAACCACTCGGATGGTCGGGGGATTGAACGGCGACCTGCAAGAAGCGAGACCGTTGCTCTACCGTCCAAGTAAATTTAAATCCATTCTATAGTATGAAGACCAAATCTTAATTGCAAAATCTAAAAAAACTAAAACTATAATAGAGTAAGATACAGCTCAGGAATAATAAAAATGGTTTTGTTATCAATGGTTCGAGAAATAAATGTGTTCTATGACTTTTGTTTTTTAAACATCTATTGTTTGGGTGTTCTGTTTATTTCATGTTTGTTAGCTAACCTCTACTTCCCCTCGCATCCCCTTCTTTCTCTTATCTTGATTCATGCGTGGTCTTCCCCGTCTCCTGTCTCAGTGTTTCAGCTGTATCACCCATCACTCTATCACATATCACTGTATCACCGAGCACTGTATCACCCAGCACTGTATCACCCAGCACTGTATCACCCTTCACTGCATCACCCTTCACTGCATCACCCTTCACTGCATCACCCTTCACTGCATCACTCTTCACTGCATCACCCTTCACTTGCTTTGTCGTACATGCCTCTGCTGTCACTATCATCATGCTTTCACTCATGTTCTCCTTCGACGATACCTTCATCATCAGGGCATCTGTCACTGACCTAATGACTGCATCTCTTCTTCTCATTTCCATTCTTTATCCCATTATCTCTCTCTTTTTCCATTTCATCCGTATTTGTTTTCACTTCCAAATTATGTAAAAAATGTTACCTTCAGTATAGTGTTCTCTGAGCCTCCAATCAACCCAATTTTAATCTATTTTAATCTAGCAAACAATTTTAATCGACGATACCCATTCAGTGGACCCGTTATCGCCGCCTGAGGTGCACAGGGCCATCTGTTGCAGGTCATTTGGCTGTTCTTTACGATGTCTTGGGTCTCAGAAGACGTCGTAAACACAACCCAGACTTCAAATGGCCTGCAAGAGACTGTGTACCTCAGGCTACCGGACACATGTATGTGTCAACGCGGTGTCTCTCTATTCTCTTGCTTCCCGTTCCCATTGTCTGCTTTATCACTTATATGCTGATTGCAATTCATCCAGTACACACGCACGTTGTTGCACCGTGTTGCATTTTGTTTTAAAGCATTCGGTACGGCTCTTTTCGTTACGAAACTGCAACCCCCACCCCCCCCCCCCCCCCGGGTGATCTGAGATGTGCTTTAACGGTGCCTTGACCTCTTGTGTGCGTGCGTGTGCGTGTGTGTGTACTCACCTAGTTGTGCTTGCGGGAGTTGAGCTCTGGCTCTTTGGTACCGCCTCTCAACCGTCAATCAACAGGTGTACAGGTTCCTGAGCCTATTGGGCTCTATCATATCTACACTTGAAACTGTGTATGGAGTCAGCCTCCACCACATCACTTCCTAATGCAAACACACACACACACACACTTCCTAATGTGTGTGTGCGTGTGTGTGTGCGTGTGTGTGTGTGTGTGTGTGTGTGTGTGTGTGTGTGTGTGTGTGTGTGTGTGTGTGTGTGTGTGTGTGTGTGCATGCGTGTCTCCTGTCACATAATTTCCATAATTCCCGTTGTTGGGGACAGGCAGCCTTTGATTATACATTAGGCTTGTATGGAGGTCCACCCCTAGGTCGAATTACTGACCTTCACCATGATACAACCCCACAACCACGGTCTAACGTCCAGGTCCCTATTTACTGTTAGGTGAACAGAGGCATTAAGTGAAAGGAAACGTGCCCAACCGGGATCCCCCGATTATGAGTCGAGAAAAAAGCCATCAGTACTACGAGACCTACACTTGTTCATGTTGAAATTAAGTAACCATCCTCATTTTACCATCCTCATCTGTCTCGACTCATTAATTTTGTGTCTGCGTGCACCGCCATTTAGGACTCGATCCCCGTTGACCAGACCACACACTAGAAGGTGAAGGGACGACGACGTTTCGGTCCGTCCTGGACCATTCTAAAGTCGATTGTATTTCTATCGCCGTTGTTAGGTTATTTGAATAAAGAAGAAATAATATGGGATAGTTGACTTATTCTTGAGGGACTAAGCTTGTTACTCTACGCCAGTCGGATTTCTCGCATTTCCTCTATGACTCTCTGACTCCTGCCTGTTATGCACTCCGTCTCTTATTTCAGTGATCCGTTCACTTTAGTTTTAAAGTAAACCTTTAAGGTGTCTTGAGAAAACTTCTAGTTAAAAATTTCTAATCAACATTCAAGTATAACAATTTCTTGATAACTCTTATCCAATACATTAATTTTGAATGTCTATACCTAATCTGTATCTAATTTTTATCCCGAAATTTTCATGCGGTGCTGGAGGAGAGAGAGTAGAGGGTGTCAGAAGCGGTTGACAGAAAACTTGGCTCTCTCTAGCCATGGTTGACAGCAGATTGAACATCTTCAAATCTTACATTTTGTAAACTATATAAATGACATTCTCCTTCGCAAATGTATATATTACTTCCCCCACCCTCCCCCGATCTCACCTCACCAGTTACCAGTGATAAACTTTTCCTACAAATTTTTATATGTAAATATATAGGATGTTAAATGCCTCGATGGCATCTGTGGGACCACATATTTAAGAGGAAATCCTGGGACATTGACCCGGTAGTCGCTGCTGGGCACCAACAGAGGGAGGACGTGTCACGTCGACCGTCTTTATACCAAGAAAGTACGTATCAAGGAATTGCTAACAGGATCAGGAAACGTAGCTCCGTGTGCATTTTTGTCTTTACTGACAAATGTCTCTGAATATAACATATATAAATTGTTATTCTTTGCATGGATGCCTTACATAGAGAGCGCCATTTTTTATATCTACGAGACGTTAATTTTTATTTCAATATATGAGTTTTGTGACCTTTACTCCATGTCATTTTTTTTATTTAAACTGATTCAATAAATTTGTTTGACTTTGCAATTTCTAGTGTATCATAAAATCAATTATTATGGATAATTGATTTGTGAAAAAGAGTGATGACTTCTCAGGTCTCCAGCTTGGTGAGGAAGCTGAGCAGGACTTCCTGAGTCGCTTTGGTCCTTCACACAGTTGAAGCTCATATATACTGGCTTTCTGCCACCGTGTACTGAAGGTTAATGAGCAGGTGTATCCAGTGACCCCAGTGCGCGCAGTGTGTGTACTCATCTAGCACATGTGTGTGTACACGTGTGTAGTGTGTGCGGTGTGTGTATTTACAACTTGTGTCTGCAGAATCGAGCTATTAAGCTCTTGGACCCCGCCTTCGTAACCAATCTATTTTTCTTATATCTATTACATATATTTCTCTCTAACACACACACACACATACAAACACACACACACACACACCCACACACACACACACACACACACACACACACACACACACACACACACACACACACAGGAAGCCGCCCGTAGTAGCTATTTAACTCCCCAGGTACCTATTTACTGCTTGGTGAACAGAGGCATCAAGTTCCGGGCCGAGTCTGGTGGCATACCGCTGAATCGTCTCTAAATTTGTCTTGTGTTTAACTAGGTATGGACTCCAGGCTGGAGCTGCGTATTCCAGGATTGGTCTGACATAAGTGGTATACAGGGTCCTGAACGATTCCTTACACAAGTTTCTAAAGGCAGTTCTTATGTAGGCCAACCTAGCATATGCCGCTGATGATATCCTTTTGATGTGGGCCTCTGGGAACAGGTTCGGTGTGATATCAACCCCCAGATCTTTCTATTTGACTCTTGCAGGATTTCCCCTCCCAGATACCTTGTGTTCAGCCTCCTGCTCCCTTCGCCTAATTTCATTACTTTCATTTACACATTTCTGTGTGTGTGTGTACTCACCTAATTGTACTCACCTAATTGTACTTGCGGGGGTTGAGCTCTGGCTCTTTCAACTGATGTACAGGTTCCTGAGCCTATTGGGCTCTATCATATCTACACTTGAAACTGTATGGAGTCAGCCTCCACCACCTCACTCCCTAATGCATTCCATTTGTCAACTACTCTGACGCTAAAAAAAATTATAAAATCTCTGTGGCTCATTTGGGTACTCAATTTCCACCTGTGTCCCCTAGTGTGTGTGCCCGTTGCATTAAATAGTCTGTATTTATCTACCCTATCAATTCCTTTGAGAATCTGTGGTGATCATGTCCCCCCTCCCCCATAACTCTTCTGTCTTTCAGCAACGTGAGGTTTAATTCATGCGGTGTGTGTGTGTGTGTTTATTTGCCTGTGTATATGTGTCTGTATGTATGTGCCTGTATATGCGTGCTCTAAGATAATTATATATAAATTACTTCTGCTCTGAGTATTATGGACATCTTAGTTCTATGTGTATACATTTTTTGTTCTAAAGGATATCTGAAACCACGTGAGCTAAATGCAATGTATTCAGTTTCCATTACCAATTATTGGAAAATTATGAACAATTAATAGTCATACAAATGAACTCGGGGACCTTCTCTGTTTCCCGTAAAGTTCTGAAAAAATCCGTGAATAATCGACTAAAATATATATACAAAATTAATAACATTGTAGGAGACTTTAATGAGCTGAAGTAATTATCCAACTCGGATATTACTTATATTTTAGTACTTATAAATATTATCACTGTTATCAATACTTTTCTTTGAATATTACAGATAATTAATTTTATTGTTATATTATGTAATTACTGTTTTTTACATATTTTTTCTGCAGTAATTTACGTTTATTAACTTACAAGCTCGTGCCAAACTCTCCTCTAGAGATTCGTGACGGATTCCGGATCCCATAAAAACGAGGCGCGGGTAAACGGCGGGTGTTATTATAAAACTCTACGGAAAACACAAGTCCTGATTTTACTTCAGACTTCATGAGACTCGCAGGGGAAAATATTGATGCCGATATTTCTTAAAGCATCACACTTGTCCCAACCTCGACTGGCCTATAACACCTATGTATAACACCCCGATGTTTCAAATTCTAAAGTTGGGTGAGGCTAGCAGCAAACATCTGACCTCATACTTCTGACAAACTAACAGACTTTTGGCTTAAATATATATATATATATATATATATATATATATATATATATATATATATATATATATATATATATATATATATATTGTTGAATATGACCGAAAGGGTAAGATTAATGATTCTAACACGAATCTTCTCAATTTTTCTTATGTTTTTTCACGGTCGAAGGAAGTAGAAAAATTAACTCTTCAAAGTTCATTTTCTTTCGCAAGGCACTCCTTACATTTTCAAAGACAAATTTTTCATGCTCTGCCAAAGCTTATATTCGCTTGGAGTGAGGTGGTACAGGACGTGATTGAGATGAACAAGTGGATGAATGGCAAAATGGGTATTAATAGGCCATTAAATCCTTTTGTTCTTGCTTCTACTGTCTCTGTGTTGGTTCGGGGTCTTGAAGTGGGTAGAATATGTTAACTGGTTGTTGATTGCTGGTCTTGACTTTTTGATGTGTAAGACCTCGCTGATGGCCAGTCTTCTGTTGTTGTTATATCTGACGATTATTTCAGTGATGCTTGTTAAATTATATTATTATTATTATTATATGTAATAATAATACTTGAATACATAATACTTGAAGCGAGTATTATGTACCATACTATAATTAATTTAAAAGACATCCAAATTTTTGGAGTGGGTGCTTGAACTGAAAGCCACATTATCTTTCAAACAAGTCACTGATTTTGCCAATATACAGGAGATTCGTTTAATTTATTCTGTCGACGTTTTTAAAGGAAGTAGAAGTGGGTAAGTGGATACAGTGTAGCTCGAGCAACTGAATATGTAATGGAGAGTGAGGTGAAGGTTTGTCTCCTGGGCCAACAGACCTGGCCCGTGAGACGTGATCACAGCACATCTGGGCTGCTAGGACTGTCAAGAGGGCTGCCAGGAGGGCTGTCAAGACCAACGTTTGTAGACGCGGACATCTTTGAAGGAAGTTGGGACTTATTTGGCTTAGTCGTTAAGTTTTTCTAATACATATGTTAATAAGATATTTGTCCCACGTTATATTGTGTACGGCTGCAAGCAGACACTCGGAAAATAGTGAGGGGAAGCAAGACCCAGGAGAGAGCAGGTCTTGCTCAATACCTACACCTTGCATGCAAAGTGAAAAACGCGATGTGCGGCCTTCGTCACAGTTCTGGCAGGTACAGAGCTATGTGGAATGCAATGTGGTAATACAGAGGCTTGAGGGGCTAGTCCTCGCTGCTCTGTTATGCACCACCAAGCTACACTGCCTGCTGACCCAACTGGTAATTTGCTGTTCAAGTCTTCGTGTCATCTATCACAAAACCAATAGCAAGGGATTTTCGTCACTATTGCCACAATTATCTATCTATATGTTCAGAACACGTGGTTGACGTGCAAGGGGAATTAGAATAACAACAGATCACTTACGGCAAGCTAAGCAGTTTAATAGGAAGGATTGTAAGTGCACAAAATCGTGGGAGAAAAACTAACCAACCTTTCTACTGTTGTAGAATAGTTGCATTCTACAACAGGTAGCTGTTCTAACTAATATAATCTAGAAGAACTTAAACAAGATGGGTAAAACTAAAATAATTTTCAGTACCCGAAATAAAGTCGGTAATGAATTAGTAAACGTCTATTAGAAATAAAAGATAAAGCAAAGGGCACCGGAGTCTATAAGATTCTTTGTAATTATTGTAATAAAGTTGATTATGGCCAAACAGGCAGGGATATACAAGCCCGTATTACAAGTGATCTGTCAGATATGGCAGACTGCACGTGAGAGTACTAATCTTGAATCTTTCCACAGGATCAGCGCGCACCAGACGACCACTGACGTTAAATATGGATATAAAGCTAGTGAGTATAATTTTCATACGTCCAGTATGTTTGGTAGGCCACACGCACAATATACTTGGTAGGTCACACGCACAATATACTTGGTACGCCACGCGTACAATATACTTGGTACGCCACGCGTACAATATACTTGGTACGCCACGCGTACAATATACTTGGTACGCCACGCGTACAATATACTTGGTACGCCACGCGTACAATATACTTGGTACGCCACGCGTACAATATACTTGGTACGCCACGCGTACAATATACTTGGTACGCCATGTGTACAATATACTTGGTACGCCACGCGTACAATATACTTGGTACGCCACGCGTACAATATACTTGGTACGCCACGCATACAATATACTTGGTACGCCACGCGTACAATATACTTGGTATGCCACATGTACAATATACTTGGTACGCCACGCGTACAATATACTTGGTACGCCACGCGTACAATATACTTGGTACGCCACGCGTACAATATACTTGGTACGCCATGCGTACAATATACTTGGTACGCCACGCATACAATATACTTGGTACGCCACACGTACAATATACTTGGTACGCCACGCATGCAATATACTTGGTACGCCACGCGTACAATATACTTGGTACGTCACATGCGCAATATACTTGGTACGCCACACTCACAATATACTTGGTACACCACGCGTACAATATACTTCGTACACCACACACCCAGTATACTTGATATGTCACACGTACAATATACTTGGTAGGCCACCACATCATTACGAATAAACGAGCATCATATCAAAATTTCTCATGTTCCTACAATTTTAATTTGCAGTTCTGTCCGCGAGATTATTCGCCTCTTATAAATGTGTGAATCTGTTATCGGCCTAACACCTAAACGGTTTCGGCGAATTTATTGAAAAAGTAAACTTATACAGCAACCCGTCCTCAGGCTGTGGTCATTCCATCCGACGACGACGACGTTTCGGTCCGTCCTGGATCATTCTCAAGTCATGAGAATGGTGATTCTTACAACTTTGTTTATTGTGAGTCTGGTGTAGAGCGTTTTCCATTCACAAACAGGTGGGGAAGGGTTTGGCGGCTTCATGGAATGAGCTTTGGCCTTTGTTCGTGCGGATGAGCTGTTTATACAACAGCTTATCGTACAATGACCTTCAAACATTTTTCAAGCAGACTTCTCTGACGTCCTCTGTTCGAACCGCAACTCTGTAAATGCTTCACTCACGTACTTCAAAAACAAATAATCGCAAACATAACCTAAACACCGAACCTATCCAACGCCTTACTATACATTGAACTTTAATATATATAATAATATTAAAATTAAAACGAGAACAAACCCTTTTATAATACTGTAACACAACTGAGCTCTGAAGGATGGCCTAACCTCCACTCTTAACCAGAGTTGTGAAGTTGGGTCACGTAAATCCTTGTTTTAATTCCGAGTAAAGAGGGATGTAACAGTTGTGGAGATGACCTGAGTTTATGAAAGTTGTGAGCCTGTGATCACCTGCTAAACAAACCAAGGGAGTCAGTGGCTTTGTGCATCAAGGAAATGACAGAGGCGGCCAGCTTTAGTGAAGGAAGATCTTGTGCATGTTCGCAAAGTCTGAGAGTGAGGGTGGCATACAACACGATTCCAGGCTATTTCCAGGTAACAACAGCCAGGAAAAAGGGAAGAATATGCGCAGACAGTTAAGTGAGTGAGAGTGACTGGGACAAACGATCAAAGAAGTGTAGTGATCGACGCAAGACGGGACTAGGGTTTCAAACTTCAAGACAATCTCAACACGAAAGCCTAACCAGAAAGATGCAAAAGGATCACAGACGGCAAGACAGAGATTAATAGACGAATGCGGGTGCTATTTCCTTCAACATGTCAACTGAACTTTCACCGGAAGCTGGAGTGAGCGATTTAACTGTCTAAGGAATTTGGTGAACATGATGTATTATTCAAGGAGGGTGTTCACTGGCCCTACATAGCAATTGGGACAGAAGAGGCAGTTGACAACCTAAAGATTAACGGACTTAAGAATGTTGTTTTGGTTCCTCCTGAAGTAGGAACAATTTACACAAAGGTTATAGCTTTTAAGTATCCAACATACTCGTATCCTGAATTTCTTCATCTCAACAATGAAGTGTTGTGTTGGCTAAGAGGAACATTGTATGTGGTGAAAAACAAATCCAGGTTGTTGGCTTGTTAAAGAGCGAGGCTCCAGAAAACTTTGTGTACGGACTTGAATGTAGAAAAGTGGCAAAACATATTGAGGAGACCACACTATGCATGAAGTGTTCTCGTTGGGAAAATATGGCTTGAAAATACCAGTTTGACACCCAGAAGTCGGTACTGCAGAAAGAAGCATGACTCACAAAGAGTGCAGAGTCTGGATTGAAAAACGAGAAACATTCTTACCATCTTGCTGCAATTGTCGAGGCATCCACAATGCTGGTTCCTCTCTATATCCCATGAAGCCCCCATGTGAGGGATTCCGGCACCCACAAGCAGGGTAAACTAAGCTTCGAAAGCAGGCAAAATCGTACAGCAGGAACAAAGAAGAGACAGTGAAGAGACAGTGATAGCCTATGTGACCAATGTTTGGGAGAAAGAAACGGCGTCGACTAAAGACAGCCTAGTGACAGTTGAAAACGAAGCCGAAAAAGTGTATCCTCGTAGTGATGAGGTGCAAGGCAGCGTCGTGAATTCTGAGGTTGGTACACAATCTTCGAATACTTCAAGAGTTGAACAAGAGGATTGAATGTCGAGAAAAGTTTAGCTATGACAAACAGATGGGGTGTAGCTGGGAGTGAAACGGAGGTGGAAGAAAGTAAGGAAGAGGATGGCGTATCAATAATGGAAACGTATCATTTAGTGGGTAAATGAATTGTCCATTAGTGATAGCAGTGTTCACCCCAGTGTGGTCAAAAATGTTGAAACAAAAGCTAAGGAATTTAAAAAAAATAGAAGTTTAAGACATAGAAATAGCATTACCTTTATAACGAATCTCAGTGAATAATTAGACAGTAGCAGAGTTAAGAGTGAAAACTCATGGAAGAAAATAGAAGGAATAATTACTTCATCTACGTTACATTCCTCCCATAGTAGTGTAATGCAATACTTTCTGGAAAGACATCATTCTTGTTACATTAGAACATAAGGTTCTTGTATGTGCTCTCTTATTATACTTTAACATATAATATTCAGATTGACTTATGAAGATTAAGCCACCCAAGAGGTGGCACGGGCATGAGTAGCCCGTAAGTGCTACTTATGCCCCCCCCCCATCCATCCCGTTACAATACACAAATTTTGAAATTTGATGAACGCGTCTTGGGGTATGGCCGCAACTTTAACGAGCCTGGCCTGAGGAAGGGTTGCTAACCAGCAGCAAATTGTAATCGATTCTCATTATGAGACCTGAGAACATTTTCACGTTCCACATATCTTCATTTGTCAAAGCTGGTTAAAACGTGAGTCGGGATCATTAATATACCAGTCTCCTCCTTCATTTCTCAGCCTTAAATAACCACCAACTGTAAGACTTCACGTATATCTATATACACAAGTTGTGAACGCACCGCTCCTGTGCCAGGTAAGTCCACTACGGGCTCACCATACCCCGTGTTACTTGCCTCGCTCCTGTGCCAGGTAAGTTACAGGCTCACCATACCCCGTGCAACTTGGAACTTGTTCCGAGTAGCTGAATCTGTAACAACAACAACAATGTGTCTGTGAATGCCCTGCAGGTGGTGTTGGCGTCGCTGGTGCTGCTGGAGCCACTGGTGACCAGCGCTCAGATCATCACCACCAGGCGGCGCTTCCCTGGCCAGCGACGTCTCGGCGCTGCCAACTACGGCACTCACAGCTACGGCAAAAATGGCTTTAGTTCTCACCCTGTTTCAAGTGAGTACTAATTAATTCAGGCTGTTCCCATATATATATTGATATACACATATAGACTTGTAAATGGACAAATCCACAAGGGCCGTGACGAGGATTCGAACCTACTTCCGAGAGCATCCCAGACGCTGCCTTAATCTACTTAACAAGTCTTGTTAGACTTGTAAACATTCTGGTAGAAGTTCATTACTCGTTACTCAGTTCACTGAGGCGAGTCCCCACCTCACACATCCTTGTACCAGGATGTGTGAGGTGGGGACCGGGGAAGGGAAGGGAACTATCAGGGGGGAAAGCGCCAAGCCATTACGACTATATAGCACTGGGAAGGGGTCAGGATAATGATTTTGTATGGGACGGGGGGAAGGAATGATGCCCAACCACTTGGACAGCCGGGGATTGAACGCCGACCTGTATGAAGCAAGACCGTCGCTCTACCGTCCAACCTGAGGTGGGGACCGGGGTTGCGGTGGTAATACCCGAGGGGATATTTTTATTGTGGTTGTGTAATGTGAACGGACTAGCCGAGAGTCGTGTTGAGAGGGTCAACCGTCTCTCAGTTGCTCGGTGACGTTGACCACATGACCTGAATGTTGCAAGAACACGTGCCCCGTGTTTATGTGGTCTACCTCTGTGCTTTGTAATCTTGACGTAGCAGCTTCGAGTCGTATTATTATTTTAGCGTTTGCAATGAGTTGCTGGTTGTCGACTGTGAATTGTGGGTTACTCTATCGCGTGTGACCGCCTTGTTGCTGAGGTGCAGTTAAAACTATGTCAGGGTATTATGGTAAGAATTTTTTTTATATTTGAAACATTTAAAATAGGACTCTAAACTGCATTGTTATATAGAGGGGGCTGGGAGTTTTCTTGGTAATGTTTAATGAATAAATCATTTTTTCTGACCTTGATGTAATGAGGTTCACTGCATCGCCTTGGTTGTGAGTCACATCTAGAGTTAATGTTCTTGATAACTCGTTCATTAATACAGAATTCGCGTGGTGATTGGACTAACCCTTGAGTGTCGAACCAGTTAATTATTGTTGTTGCTCAATCCCCGGTCTGTAGCCTGGAGGCAGACTCCCGCTGTCTTCTCCGATGTCTAATAAAATATGAACGCCAAGTTCATACGTTAAATTTAACACTCAAGATATTTCAGTGGCCTCTTTGTACAAATCCACAAGGGCCGTGACGAGGATTCGAACCCAAGTCCGAGATCATCCCAGACGCTGCCTTTATCGACTGAGTAATTTGGCTATGTGTTCCTCAACTCTGGCTACAATATAGATAGCAATATATATCAAATTTGTAGTGTAGAAGATTATGATATTATTCCATAAAGAAGTTCCATTCATAAATATGCATTTATCATGTCAATAGTAAATGAAGAAACATAATTCACAGAGCTTGTGTCTGATGTCATACACATACTGAGTCCCAATGAAAAAAATGCGTCAATCCCAAAATCCCAAATCCGAATCCCCCCTCTCCCCCCCCAAAAAAAAAAAAAATTCGGTGCTGTAGATGATACAGCAAATCTTTAAATTTCTACATACCGGTACAACTTTAAACATTATAATCATCGTTATTGATTCGTTACTTGCACACCAACGGAAAATGCGATCTTAAATTAAAGTATGTTTCGTGACGTCACGACCTGCTTACGATACAAAATGTACAAGGTAAATAACACCAAATTAGAAATTTTGGTGCAAATTCTTTGCATCAAAATGACGTCGTTTGACTTCACACACCCGTTACTTGCACTTGCTAACGCAATAGAATTGAATCATTGCGACAACCTACGTAGAATATACTTCTCGTTACTTAAAACATAAAACCATTATTGGTGTTTCTTAGTACACGATATTTTTGTGTAAACAAGCTCCTCAATATAAAATGACGAGTGATGGTTGCTTGAACTCACGTGATTATTGTACGCGACGACACTGCCTCCAAGACCGAGGTAGGTGGCTGTAAGGCCTCCAAGACCAAGGTAGGTGGCTGTAAGGCCTCCAAGACCAAGGTAGATGGCCGTAAGGCCTCCAAGACCAAGGTAGGTGGCTGTAAGGCCTCCAAGACCGAGGTAGGTGGCTGTAAGGCCTCCAAGACCGAGATAGGTGGCTGTAAGGCCTCCAAGACCGAGGTAGGTGGCTGTAAGGCCTCCAAGACCGAGGCAGGTGGCTGTAAGGCCTCCAAGACCGAGGTAGGTGGCTGTAAGGCCTCCAAGACCGAGGTAGGTGGCTGTAAGGCCTCCAAGACCGAGGTAGGTGGCTGTAAGGCCTCCAAGACCGAGGTTGGTGGCTGTAAGGCCTCCAACACCGAGGTAGGTGGCTGTAAGGCCTCCAACACCGAGGTAGGTGGCTGTAAGGCCTCCAACACCGAGGTAGGTGGCTGTAAGGCCTCCAAGACCGAGGTAGGTGGCTGTAGGACCTCCCAAGTCAAGAAAATGTGGCTTAGGGTTCCCCTTCGACCAGTGAAATTGAAAAAAAAAATCCAATGAAAACAGTATGAAATAGGAACGTACCTTTTATTGGTAGATTTCTGTCCCACGATGAGCTGTTAAATTCACTTACCTGTAATGATATGAAAGATATTCAGTAGTATTAGTCACATGTCTGTATACATTTCAGTCATCACAGACTACAAATATAAATCTTCACAGAATTTATAAGATCATAATCCATATATATATCAGTAACGCGGATTACGTTTACACTTGAGGCTTTGAAGTTTTGTTTACCTGTTTCGAAGGATGAGGACACTATGGTCCTTGTGAGGTCAGACTGGGTGGCTATAATACCCTGTCATCGACTGGTGTTCCCGGCACAACACTACATTTTCCAATGTCAATATTCACTAAGTAGTAGGGTATCTCTTTTTCATTCACTTGGACACTAAGGAAACTCGAAACGCCGACCACACGAGCGTGAGGCAGTATTTTTTTTTACTTTAAGTACTGTACACAAAATTTTTTAGTAGGGATTCTTTGGCTTAGTTTCTTAATTGTTAATGATAACCACAAAGCAGTTTTGGGATCGTGCAAGACTAACACCGAGATAATTATATAGTTTACGCGACCAATGTCAACACTGTCGGTGAGACAACACGCTGTTTACCGTCACAACAACTGGTCATACATCTCTCACTGTGGCCATACACGCGTTTTCCTTCCTTCTTATTCGGCACTTGATGAACATTTTCACTTACACTTTAGACGTTTCTGTCTCACTTGACACGACACCTTAACTCACTCGACACAACCCAACCACAAGTAGCATCTAAATGATCTGATTCGCGGAATACAGAGGCCCAGATTGTCTTTGTTTCGGGTTTCGAATGAACCCGCTCATAACCCGACTCGAAGCCGGGTGGTGCTTCATTCAGCCCGTGTCATCACCGCTGACACTCGTCCTCTGGCTATGTTTATTCCAGCAGCCCGTCCTCATCAACAAAGACTTAAGGACTTGTTAATCCAGCCGCCAAACCACTGTTTATGAATGAGAAATGGTTAACATACGAACATTTCTTAAACAGTTCTTCGCTGACGACGTGTTCGAACAGCAACTCTGTAAATGCTTCACTCACGTACTTTAAATACAACTAATCGCCAAAAGAACCTTGGCACCTAACATAAACTATGCCTAAATATATCCAGAACTTTAATAAATAATAATATTTATTTTTATATGAGAAAACACCTATTGTTAATACACAATACGTTACAATTGATGAAAGGTCTTGGGGGAGGATGGGGGAGCAGAAGCAGCTTTCAACGAGCCTGGTGTGAGGACAGGGCAGTTCAGTCTATCCAGCGGCTGACCGCAAAGACCCATTCATCAATTTCACAGCCTGTCCTCATCAACAAAGGCCAAAGTCCATTCCATGTACCCGCCAAACCCCCTGTTTATGAATGAAAAACGGCTTACACACGACTTACAACTGATGACGTCCAAACACTTCCGAAAAAAGTGCTTCACTGACGACATTTGTTCGAACCACAACGCTGTAAATGCTTCACCCACGTACTACAAATACAAATAATCGCCAACAGAACCTTAACACATAACCTAACTTAACCTATGCCTATAGATGCACAATATGCTAATACTTTATAATATTAATTTATATTTGAGAAAATTCCTGTTTCGAATGAACAGCATGTTAAAATTTATGAATACGTCTGTGGGGTCGACCGCTGGATGGTATGGACTTGAGTCGAGGACGGGTTGCTGATTTGATGAAAACGATCGGTGTCCTCTTCAAATTCAGAGTGCTTTCGGGTCGTTGGTCAAATAGCTTCCGCTTTCAACGAGTTTTGTAAAGTCTGCAATGGTCAAGTGGATAACGTATTGGATACGCTAGCTTGTTTGTCACACCTGTCTTTCTAAGGTTCGAATCCTTCACGGAGATGAGTTCTTTATTTATATATATATATATATATATATATATATATATATATATATATATATATATATATATATATATATATATATATATATATATATATATGTCGTACCTAGTAGCCAGAACGCACTTCTCAGCCTACTATGCAAGGCCCGATTTGCCTATTAAGCCAAGTTTTCGTGAATTAATTGTTTTTTGACTACCTAACCTACCTAATCTAACCTAACCTAACTTTTTCCGCTACCTAACCTAACTTAACCTATAGAGATAGGTTAGGTTAGGTTAGGTAGGGCTGGTTAGGTTCGGTCATATATCTACGTTAATTTTAACTCCAATAAAATAAAATTGACCTCATACATAACGAAATGGGTAGCTTTATCATTTCATAAGAAAAAAGTTAGAGAAAATATATTAATTCAGGAAAACTTGGCTTATTAGGCAAATCGGGCCTTGCATAGTAGGCTGAGAAGTGCGTTCTGGCTACTAGGTACGACATATATATATATATATATATATATATATATATATATATATATATATATATATATATATATATATATATATATATATATATATATATATGCAGAATAACCACATATGAAAAATAGAAAATGCTTAACGCGTTTTCGGCTAATTCGCCTTCATCAGAGCAAAGTAGAAACATTCTACTTTGCTCTGATGAAGGCGAATTAGCCGAAAACGCGTTAAGCATTTTCTATTTTTCATATGTGGTTATTCTTCATACTTGGATCAGTGTTTTTGTGATCATTGTTGCATATATATATATATATATATGTCGTACCTAATAGCCCGAATGCACTTCTCATCCTACTACGCAAGAGGCCCGATGTGCCTATTAGGCCGAGTGATTTTCTATATTTTCAAAATATTGTTTCCAATTGGTTTATTTGAAATATTACTATTATTATTATATTATATTAAGAACATAAAATATTGATTTAGTTATGTTAGTTTAGGTTAGGTTAAGATAAGTTAGGTTAGGTAGGGTTGGTTACGTTCGGTCATATATCTACGTTAGTTTTTACTCAAATTAAAAAAACTTAACTCATGCATAATGAAATGAATAGCGTTATCATTTCACAAGAAAAAGTCGAAAGATATATAAATTCAGGAAAACTTGGTTTCCTAGGCAAATCGGGCCAACTAAATTAGGCCGAGTACTGCGTTATGGCTACTTAGTACAACATATAATTATTTTGCCCGACATTTTAATATAATTCTCAAACATTATTATTTTCCTTTCCCCCACAGGACCGACTGGAAGATTCGTCCCACAGGGTAACGTATTTACATATATTACATGTATATATATTTATATTTTTATATATAAATATATAATATATTTTTATATATATTGTAGGAACCCCATAGCTTCGGAGAATATATATATATATATATATATATATATATATATATATATATATATATATATATATATATATATATATATATATATATATATATATATATATATATATATATATATATATATATATATATATAATATATATATATATATATATATATATATATATATATATATATATATATATATATATATATATATATATATATATATATATATATATATATATATATATATATTAGTGCGGTGCAAAAAATCTTATTGTGGGTGCATTCAGACTAGTTATTTTAGCTTTATGTTAAAATCTTATATATACGCATTAAAAAATATCTAAGTTATAATTATCTCTTACTGACGTTTATTTTTTTAGTTCACTTTCAATCAGGATTTGATATTTAGCATCATTACACTTAACTATTATTACTTCTATAAGGAATTGGTTTCTCGTGGCTTCCAGATTCATACATGCTACAATAATTATGATACAAAGTTTGATACAAATTACAAAGCTACTCAAATTATGATACATAATTTGAGCAGCTTAAGAATTTATAGATTTTTGTGTAGAATGGAAATACTAGAAGGGCTTAAGTTGTGAATTGTTAATTTTTCTTCAACATTTTTTAAAAGTGCCCCATTGCATTTTTTGTATGATTTATTGACAAGAATCTTAATCGGTACATGTTAAAAAAAAATCTTAGTCCCTGTGCATGGGACAACATATCTGTAGTGCTCTCCGACACACACAAGTAAACCCACAATGATTCACTCTACCACAGAGGGATGACTGAGGCTACACGTGTATATCCACCTTAGTTGAGGTTTCTGCTTTCCGGAATAGACAAATATTAAATCTGTGATCATATTAATAAATCATGACGTTCTTTTACATTTTTTAATAATTTTTGTCTATGTTTTTCATAGACTTTACACAGGGCATCGGGATTCTAGATTACTTATTTTTAACAATAAATATATACCAGATTAAAATTTTAGTCAATAAGTAAAAAAAAATATATCCAACATAATTAATACCAGGTGGTATCAAATGAACATTGTTACTCATTACACCGTGACAGAAACATCCAGTGATTACCTTAATGTTCAGGAGCATACAATGGATGATGACATCTGTTACACATCATATTGTTATCATTCATCTTGCTAAATATTGGCTGGTTTATGAGCCCGTTCAAGTGTTTCTTTAATTAATCTCAACCATTGGTCTCTTGTTCCCCCAGCCTCTTCAGTCAAGAAATCCAGATACCATGGTAAAGTATTCGCTTAGTTCTTAATCTCATTGATGAACATATATGACGTTAGTACTCTGATCATACTAAACAAGGTTGTTGCTTGTGAAAATTATTTAGTTACTGAGGTTACTTCCCGGATAATTGGTTGTAAACCATGTCACTATCTGCACATAATGTCTTCCTTCCATATTCATGTTTCCTCTGTCTTTGAGAATGTCTTGAGATATAGACAAAACCTTCCGATTTTTTATTTTATGTTGTATAATGAATTAGCCTTTAGGTGAGTTACAACATATGCAATACAATGTTTTAATTACATTTTTCCTTTATACATGTAATAAATCTGTATTAATCCTCTCTACAGGACCACGCAGAAGATACTACCCCTACACTCCCTATGGTAACGTATTTACTATCATTCGTATTATTACTACTTTTGCTAGTCTGGCATGAACAAAAACTTCAATGGATGAAATATATTGTGAGCTGAAGAAAGAGGTAGTTAAAGTCCATACAACTCAAAGTATAATTTTCTAAGGCATGGTTCCCTTCTCTCTCTCTTCGCAGGATATCATAATTATAGAAGATACACCCGATATGGTAACGTATTCTCTCTGAATCATTTATGCCAATATTTTATTACATGTATACAATATACTGTTAATGTCATAAGTCATAATGTTAAATTTTTCTATGTTATAATATTTTTGTTTCTCTTCCTCTATAGAACCATATAGAAGATACAGCTCATACAGCCCTTATGGTAAAGTATTTACTCTCTAATGTTTGTACTATTTCTAATTTTGTTAGTTTGGCATATATATATATATATATATATATATATATATATATATATATATATATATATATATATATATATATATATATATATATATATATATATATATATATATATATATATATATATATATATATATATATATATATATATATATATATATATATATATATATATATATATATAAAACGAAGCCTAAGCTTTCATGTTACAAGTATTGCAGTAAAGTTCATGTTACAAGTGATAGAGTAAAGTTCTTGTATACAAGTGTTTACGTGTATTTCTCAATATTCTAAAGCACGAACGACTCTTCTCTTCTCTCTCCACAGGATATTATAGAAGATACACCCAATATGGTAACGTATTGACTTATTCAAATATTAAGCTTGAATATAGCAATACCTTTTATGTATAATTTATAGATGAATCAAATAACAACCACGTTTGAAAAGATAAAACTCGGCTAAAGATCAAATTTTCAGTTTCGATTCTTTTTGTGAATATATTTTTAATGGAGTACCACCTCTGGCTGGAATTAATGTGTATTTTTTTTCTTTGTTGATTTTTTCTTGTAGGACGATAAGGAACAGAATTAACATAATATAGAGATGAGGCTGTCAGGTGTCCCAGCCGACATCCCTCCCACACTCCCACTGATGTTGACTCCCATGTTAAAACAAATCTGCTGGCTCCCAGCACCTGTTGATGTCTCTCCCGATCTGCCTCACCCACTTCCTCGCTGCCACTCTAGCTGGTAGCAAAGACCACCTGAGACCCCATCGGGCAGCTGGGTTATTTCCCACAGCTCCGTTACCTCCCACAGCTCCGTTACCTCCCACAGCTCCGTTACCTCCCACAGCTCCGTTACCTGGTGCTTGTTATATATTATCATTCGGAATGATGAGTTAAAAAAAAAAGTGCTCAACCTAGAGTTAACATTACCGTTCTAGTACCTGTTTTATACACGACAGTACACGATAATATTTGTTAATGTGCTAATGTTAGTCGTTGTTTGAACTTGATCTCTCTCTCTCTCAATGTAGCGTTGTTTGAACTGCCGTTTGCATATTGTTAAATTCATCGTGTTATATGCAATGTTAATTATATATTTTGTTACTTTGTTAATTTCATATATTGTTAATTTATATTATTGTTCATATTCTGTTACTGTGTACTGAAGATTTCACTGTTTTTAATATGAACTGTTTTATATATTCTTTAACAGTTTTGTTAATTACATTATTTTATATTTTGTACTGTTGCTGTTATCGTTTGTTTCTTTCCGTTGTTAATTTATTATATTGTTATTTTTATATTATTTAATATTTTTGTTAGCAGTTTCTTGATGTTAATAAATTATTTTATTAAATTTTGTTTTAATTATAGCATTTCTTTGCGTGGCTTATCTTGTATGTTCAAGCTTCCCGTCATCTAAACGTCGCATTTTTAACGGAATCAACCAATCCGTTCAAAATGCGACATATTAGTCAAAATTAAAGCCCCGTAAAATCGACGTTTATTGCACCTCAGCCTCGATAGATATAGTTGAGTAGCCTGAGCTCGTTCTTTCCTGGTTAGTCAAACCCGCTTAGACGTAGGGGTCTCGGACGTAGGTTCGAATCCTCGTCACGGCTCTTGTGGATTTGTTCATTGATACATCACGTTATTGTGATTACTGGGTGTAGTGTAAACCCGCTCTGTTTGTAACGAAGTGGTGAACTTAGCCTGTCTCTTGAGTCTTGTGTTGATACAAGAAGCTTCTCAAGAAGACGCCGCACCTCTTCTTGAGGCCTTTGAACTATACATTGAAATTGAAATTGAAATAAGTTTATTGAGATAGAATACACACAAAGGGATGAGGTACCTCAAGTTATTCTCACCCCGTTCAGTACATCGTGTTAATATATACATATAAACACATCACAAACAATAAACATATAACCAAACATTCTGAGAGATAAACATCTACATTTCCAATTGAACTATACAGCTTGAGACTGGTACAACTGACCGAACCAGTCGTCGTTTGAACACTCATCCTTTGATTTATATTACATTAACACACTAAATACGAGAACTATTTGTGAGTGTTGCATCTTTCAATTATTAACGTATCCTTTAAGCAGGGCGTCACGTTCTCTATTAGGTTGAAGCAGTATGCAAGAAATGTTGCCGTCGGTGGTGATTTTCCGGTTTTCATTGGTAGGAACCGGACTATCAACGCCGGTAATCAGTAGTCAGTCAGTTGGGGCGACGAGGGTAGTTAGTGGCGTCAATTAAGCCTATTGATACGCAACACATATGGTAAGGGCGAACCATATTTATGATTTGCAATGAGGCTATGTGACTGGCTGATCCATCAGTATCCTGGGAATGTGCTCCTACATAAGAACAGTTCAAGTCTGGAGCTTAAATTGTCATGATGAACGAAAAAAAACACGATCTCTGAATAACTAAGATGTAGTTAAAATGATATTTTTGTCTTAATCCAAGTAACGTTTTATCAATACAATACAATACAATACAATTTTATTTAGGTAAGGTACATACATACAATAAATATTTACAAGGATTGTTTGACTTATAGGTAGAGCTAGTACATACAATGCCTAAAGCCACTATTACGCAAAGCGTTTCGGGCATATCAATATATATCATTATATATATTATATATATATATCATTATATAATAATATATTATAATATCATTATATATCATATATCATTATATAATAATATATCATTATATATATATCGGGCAATTATCAATATATAAACATGGTTATTAATAACTGTGGTGCTTATCAACGTGTCCATACTGTTTTAGTTTGTGCAATTGTATCAATAATTATTATTTGCTTTGGCGAATTATTGAATGCACTGGAAATAAGCGACCCAGCAACACCCAAGTAACTCTCAGCAACATCCAGTCACATCCATCAGCGCCCAACAGGTGAGAAGCTAGCAAGCAAGCAAGCAGCAGCCGCCCTGCGATATAGGCGAGGATCAAATTTACCTGAATTGACCTGGGGCCAGATTCACGAAAGCACTTACGTAAACACTTACGAACCTGCACATCTTTTCTCAATCTTTGGCGGGTTTGTTTCCAATTATTAAACAGTTAATGAGCTCCGCAGCACCAGGAGGCTGTTTATAACAATAACAACAGTTGATTGGCAAGTTTTCATGCTTGTAAACTGTTTAATAAATGTATCCAAAGTCGTCAAAGATTGAGGAAAGATGTACACGTTCGTAAGTGCCTTCGTGAATCTGGCCCTTGAGGGCCACCAGCTATCTAGTGGCGTCGATGAGAATAGGAAGCCGGCTGCTCTTGTGTTATAACGGCCTACTTGATTTCGTTTGGTTTGGGTTTAGTGCCTATCAGCCACGGAAGGATTAATTATTAAGGCCACCTCAATATCTTAATGACCAATTGTTACACACCCCCAGGAAGCAGCCTGTAGCAGCTGTCTAACTCCCAGGTACCTATTTACTGCTAGGTAACAGGGGCACCAGGGTGAAACAAACATTTTGCCCACTTGTCTCTGCCTCCACTGGGGATCGAACCCCGAAACCTCAGGACTACGAATACGAAGCGCTGTCCACTCAGCTGTGTCATTCTTATACTACATTCATGCTATAAATACAGTGAAATCCTGAGGTTACTTAGCGTTAGCTTCTGGATCGGATCGAGGCACGTCTAACATGAACTTCTGAAGGGCCTTCTATCATTAAGTGAGGCGTAATCGTCTAATTGTTGAGGAGCTTGTCAATGGGCGTCATCCCCGCTCAGCTGACGTGGGGCAAGATGGCCGCCGCCCTCCCCAGCCCGCGTTTGTGCGTGAAGTTACCCAATGATTCTCAAATCGGGAGTGGCTGTGCAATTATTTCTGGTCTTAAGATTAACTTTATTTTAATAATCAAATCGCTCATTAAAATATTGACTCTGATTTCCTCCACTTTGGTTACTTGAGAATCAACAGTTACGGTTAATAGCCTGATCGTCTGATAACAAATTGGGAAGATTTTGGCAGAATTATGGCGCCATGCTTAGTAGGAAGAATCTGGCTATTGCGCATTTCAGTTACAATTATTTACAAACAGAGGATGAGTCCTCATATTTAGTTTAAATGTTAATAATTTGTGGTTAGCTTTAAAAAGCTTAATAGTAATTAACAGAGAACAAATCCTCATAGCTATATATTTTTATTCCAACTTTTCACACTTTTACCATAATTAACTACTGAATATATTTATTAAGTAGTTAATTATGCTAAAATTGGGAAATATTTCCCCTCATAGGCCTACTAGTGTCCTGTACATAGTTGAGGACTAAAGTAGACTCAGTACATATATATACCAAAAAGTGTAGTACACTTTTCGATAAATATATCATGGGTTTTACTATTAGTGGTAGGCCAATTATTCAATATTATTAGGCAACAATTAACTAAAAATAAGTTAAACTTTGCAGCCTATTTTATTTGCGTTACTTGAACGCATAGCCTATTGTTTCGAGATTTCTTTGGTGACTATATGCTAGGCCTAATCTAAATATATTTTCGTTGGGGCAATAACGCCAGGCCGAATATGAAAATTAGAGTGCGTGTAATGTATATTTAAAATCTAATACACAGATATAAGCAGGCGAATAAACTGCAGGATTGCATCCAATGGAATAGTTTGCGATTTTAACAAGCGCCGTTTTCTGTGGTTGCTGTGTATGCACGATGGAGAAAGTGGGATGAACAACTTGCCTGGGGCCAGATTCACGAAGCAGTTAAGCAAGTACTTGCAAACGTATATATCTTTCCTGAATCTTTGAGAGCTTTGGTTACATTTATTTAACAGTTTACACACACGAAAACTTTTCAATCAACTGTTGTTATTGTTATAAACAGCCTCCTTGTGCTACGGAGCTCATTAACTGTTTAATAATTGTAAACTAAGCTGCCAAAGATTGAGGAAAGATGTACACGTTCGTAAGTACTTGCGTAACTGCTTCGTGAATCTGGCCCCTGGGTTCTAATACTGGTACTCGTTAGTGCCAATAAAATCGTAACTATAAAATGCGAAGATATCGAGGCATTTCAATGGGTTCGAACTCACATTCCTGACAGCCAAAGACACACAAAAAAAACTCAACCGTGGTGAATTCGAGCCCATTGAATTGACACAATATTTTTACATTTTAGCATTACAAAATTGTCAAAATGGTGAATTCAGTTTGCCATGACATGACTAGCAGATAGAGAGCATGTTGTTGTTGGTGTTGTTAAAGATTCGCTACCTGGAACAAAGTTCCAAGTAGCACGGGCTATGGTGAGCCCGTAGTAGATAGATAGGATAATCACCGCAGGTACCATGTGCAAATTTAATTGTGGATATCAACTAGATACCATCTAATCCCCAAGTATATTTACCTGACGGCCACTATCTAGATGAGTGGGTAGTGCATGGCTGTGGTTGATGATTGACGAAGATTAAGCCACCCAAAAGGTGGCACGGGCATGAATAGCCCGTAAGTGGTGGCCCTTTGGAGCCATTAACAGTATCAAGAGCTGATACTGGAGATCTGTGGAGGTGCGACTGCACCCTACGTGACGGGATATGTCTCCCGTGGATGGCTGTGGTAATGTGAGAGATTATATATAGCTAAGTTGCTCTGAATTAGATGTGCTGACTGGTCGGTCCGTCCTATCAGGGCGATCCCAACGTCGCTAAACTGACGTACTAAATTGACCGAATAACCGACGACTCGCGATTATAATTTATTTATATATATATATGTCGTACCTAGTAGCCAGAACGCACTTCTCAGCTTACTATGCAAGGCCCGATTTGCCTAATAAGCCAGGTTTTCGTGAATTAATTGTTTTTCGACTACCTAACCTACCTAACCTAACCTAACCTAACTTTTTCGGCTACCTAACCTAACCTAACCTATAAATATAGGTTAGGTAGGGTTGGTTAGGTTCGGTCGTATATCTACGTTATTTTTAACTCCAATAAAAAAAACTTGACCTCATACATTAAGTAATGGGTAGCTTTATCATTTCATAAGAAAAAAATTAGAGAAAATATATTAATTCAGGAAAACTTGGCTTATTAGGCAAATCGGGCCTTGCATAGTAGGCAAAAAAGTGCGTTCTGGCTACTAGGTACGATATATATATATATATATATATATATATATATATATATATATATATATATATATATATATATATGTCGTACCTAGTAGCCAGAACTCACTTCTCAGCCTACTATTCAAGGCCCGATTTGCCTAATAAGCCAAGTTTTCCTGAATTAATATATTTACTATAATTTTTTTCTTATGAAATGATAAAGCAACCCTTTTCTCTATGTATGAGGTCATTTTTTTTTTATTTGAGTTAAAATTAACGTAGATATATGACCGAACCTAACCAACCCTACCTAACCTAACCTAACCAATATTTATAGGTAAGGTTAGGTTAGGTAGCCAAAAAAAGCTAGGTTAGGTTAGGTTAGGTAGGTTAGGTAGACGAAAAAACATTAATTCATGAAAACTTGGCTTATTAGGCAAATCGGGCCTTGAATAGTAGGCTGAGAAGTGCGTTCTGGCTATTAGGTACGACATATATATTTATATATATATATAATTATATATGGGACATCACATCAATTTTACGAGCCGCTTGCAAAAATTTATTTTTTTTAGTGTGTCATTAGGCTTTAGGGGAGTTATACGTCAAAATGCGGGTGTTAATGTGCCAGATGGACAGTGACTTTTAAGTATTAATCAACGAAATTACAGTTTGAAGCCAGGTCATCAATGCTGGCCATACTTAACAGCTGTAACGACAGCATAACCACTTGCTCTTAACTACCAATGTTATTTAACGTATATGATATGAACGTATGTGTAATGAACGTATATGTTTTAAATATATATGTTATGAAATGGCTATGCAGAGTAGAATCTGACAGTCTAGTCTTGGGTAGCAGAGACAAATATGCTTAAATAATTAATATATGAATTAATTAACAGTGCAATTAATCTCAATCACAGTGCACAATTATCTTTCTACAGTTGCGATGTTATTCATACCGGAAATATTTCACGTAAAGCCATTATCACCCGTCATCTTAGACAATCCCGACTGTCATGTATTTCTGCTATGTGTTATCTCTATCAAGTGTTACCGCTGCCTTATGATATCTCTACTACGTGTCACCTTGTTATAACATGACAAAGATATCACAGTAATACCACACACACGGCTGTCCTACCATCAGCATTCACTCTTCACCCTTCACTAAAGACCTTGACGAGTAGGTAGTGTCCGGGGCATGTGTCAGCCCCTAGAACTATGTGTGTCATGACACTGCTGTATGTGTCGGCCCTAAGAGCCGGTTCTCAAGGCCTCTGGATTCTTGAGGGGCCTAGTGTCGGGCTCTAGAATCCCTTGACCGGGTTTTTTGTGCTTCATTGCCGTCTTGGTATGGCATTTATGCTATGTAATAATTATTAAAGGAACCACAACCAACACTTAAAGAATGACGTCGTTTCCTCTCATGCTTGGGGTGGGTTATTTATGTTCTGTTGCGTTGTTATCCTGTTATGTATTAATATGTTATCCTCCAGTGATACGGCAGTGTTTAGAACGGGTGAATAGTAAGTAAGTAATTATCAAAAAGAAGGCACCAAACCGGGAAGGCTACGAATGTGCGGGATAATCAGAGGGCGCTAAATATCACCAAGGATGCCAATACGAGAACAGAAACGCATAAGGCGAACGATATCAAAAGTATCCGAGTCACCAAGAATACTGTCGAGGGACAGGCGACCGCGAGGGACGGTCGGAAAGCAAGACACACGCTCGTCCCGGAAGTCAGGACATTCAACAAGGATATGCACGACCGTAAGAGGGACAATGCAATTAGGACAATAAGGAGCAGGGCGGCGCTCAATCAAGTGACCATGAGTTAAGCGAGTATGGCCAATACGCAAACTTGCCAGAGCCGTTTCCCATCGCCGGTTACGGTGGCAGGAGGACAGCCACGAGGACACACAACTTTTAAGAGAACGTAGTTTGTTACCAGTAACAGACGACCAAGAAGCCTGCCAACGGGTAAGGATGGAGGAATGGATAACCGGGTAAAAGTCAGAATAAGGAATACCTTTACGAGAGATGGGACAAGAGCGGACAGCTTCCTTGGCGGCAGCATCCGCACGCTCATTTAAAGACACACCAATATGGCTGGGAACCCAACAAAACTCAACCGACTTAAATTTACTGTGAACAAGAAACAGCCAATGCTGGATCTCGACAACTACTGGATGAACCGGATTAAAGGACCCGAGAGCCATGAGGGCACTACGAGAGTCAACAACTACAAAGGAAGATTGACAACGAGAGAGCAGGAGATGAAAGAACGGGTGAATAGTTATCTTCTCTCTCGCTTGTCTTGTACCTGTTGAGACAGGTCTCTTTTTACAGGTGTTAGCACCTGTTGTTGCACGTCACGTGTACAGCCAGGTGTACGCCAGACACCTGTCGGGTTATGGTATAAAATCAAAGAATCTTTTGGAATTTACTAGTCGTGTTTATTATTGTTACTAATAATTATATATCATTAATAAAGCAGATACTCAATTTTCAGTCAACACGTCACTGGTCACACTGAACACGTCATTCGTTACTGTCAGCACGTCATTCGTTACTGTCAGCACGTCATTCGTTACTGTCAGCACGTCATTGGTTACTGTCCAATAACATGCCATTGGTCACCGTCATGTCACTGTTTATTAACACGCTCAAACATTTACAAACACAATCGACTTACAAAAATATAAATTTATAAAACAATATTTGAAAATAAATATAATTTACTAAACATATTTCAAAGTAGCATTAAGGTAGAATCGAAGGACCAGAGTTCAATCCCCCGGGCAGGACATAAACGATAGGCCACGTTTCGTTTCACCTGATGCTAGATAAATAAGTACCCAGGAGTCAAGCAACTGTTGTGGGTGGCATCTTGAAGAGGGGTCAGTAGCTTGCCTAGAGATGACCTCACTTAGTACAGGCTTCTTGTCCCCGACAACTGGAACAATAAACACATGAGGGGATACACCTCAGCAGTTCTCTTGACTGATGCAAACAGCGCCTGGTCATGTCTGACGAGGAGGTCACTACGCTGCCACCATTGTTGTGCAGGTCACGACGAGCCAGCAGAGTTGCGCAGTTTCCGGCAGCATCAACAAGGGGCATGTCTGGCCCCACACTCTGGTGCTCATCTACCCGTTCAGTCCTGCAGAGACATGACACAATGAACTACGCTCACTGAAGAATGGGGATGTTTATCAGTTGGCTTGCTCTGAATATGTACAATAAATTACCATCAGAGAGAGAGAGAGAGAGAGAGAGAGAGAGAGAGAGTGAAGAGACAGACAAAACAGTATATCAAAACACGAAGAAGGAGCGAGTCGGATCTACTTACTAGCCAAACGTTTGGTACTGAATCCCCGCTCACTGAAGGTGTGGCTACGGAAGTTCCTGACCCCGAGGTGCCTCTGGCCAGGGAAGTCTCTCTTCTTGGTGATGATCTGCGGCGCCGCCAGCACCATCCCCAACACCGCCACCAACACCACCAGCACCTGTCGTTGTTGGAGATTAGCAGTGTTCATATATAGTACTTAATAATTAGTCCACATGTCAATAATTTCACAACAATTTAATATAATTGAATTCAAATCTACATTTAGCTCTAAAATATTGTCAAAAATATATTAAATCTAGAAAGTTGACTTACAAGTTTAATATTCATTATTATTTGAAGCAGTAGTCGGCAAACCTTCCTATAGCCTGTCGAGAGATGGAGTGTTATTGCTAGCAAGAAGAAAGTTTTATGTAATCATAAGTATTCATCAAACCATTAATATATAGCATTTATAATTTGTAATATATTTTATCAACCAGTGGAACGAGACAGATTTGGGACGAGTTTACAATATGGTGGTCGTGTTCGGCCTAAAGCCTCTCAACCTCTGGTGGGTTAAGACCACACAATTGCATAGTGACCAACCAGCAAGTACTATTTACCCCTAGACATTGCCCACGGCTAAAGTAAACACTGAGTATATATACCGAAAACCGGAGTATAACTTTTGATGTATGTATATTCTTGAATAATTGATGGAAAAAGAATTATATATTAGTTTACCTGATTAAAGTGGTGTAGCTGATGAGTGCAGGTCTCTCCGACAACTGAAGAGCTGCCACATTAGCTGCTGGCTTTATACTGTCAGGATCCTGTCAGGTTCCAACTACTCTTAAAAAATCCTAAATTATTTGAATCTAAAGAATATTTTCTCATTTCATCTACAATATAAACATATTAGAGATTAATTACAATCAGTACGTATGAGGGTGATTAATATATATCTTTGCAAAATAAATTAAAATAATAATACCCGCTGATATCTGAAGGCATCTGTTTATGCATTATTAGCAAGAATAGGCCAAGGGAACTGCCAACGAATTTGTCAGAAGCGCATGACGCTCTAGCTCTCATTAGCATTCTTCCTGTAGGAAGCTCCTACACCCAGTACAACCTTGGCGTAATTCACACATACATAACTAAACGCTCCAACAACAATAACCTGAAGCCTACATGGTCCAACTGCGACGTAGACGCCCATGGTGACTGTGGGGGTAACTACCAGACTGCTTGTGTGTGTGTGTGTGTGGGATGACAACAAATAAATTCAATTTTGGGCTTGGATTTACTGCCTTTCGTGGCCCAATTTTCCTTCTAGTGGATAGTGGTTCATGTTGTCCCTTCCTCGGGAACAGGAAACATGTTAGGGTTACCGAGGTCCCCCCGCCAGCCTAGGTGAAAGCCTAACGATCCCTAGGAATAGTTTTCTGTCATCTATATATTTACTGCTAGATGAATGAAAGCATCAGTAGAAAAAGGAAACGTGTCCAGTTGTCTCTGCCCGCTCTGGTATCGAACCTGGTAATATTGGGAAATGAACTGACGACTTATTTCGTATCAAACGCATTTATCAAATTATGCGTTTGATATGAAAGATCAAACGCGTAATTTGATCTCAATCTCACACTTAAATCAGCTTCGTGTGAGCACAAATTTACAATGAGACGCTCAGAGTCAGCAGGAAGTACAGGGTATATTAATATTTCAAGAACAAATGATTACCAAGGCTGGAGAGATGAGTGTGTCCAGCAGTTTAATAATGTGGTGAGAAGTGGCCAAGTACCACACCCGGCCGCCCCACTGGGCCTCCTTCTGGCCACATGAGACGTTTCAGTATGTTAGAATGTGTTGGAAAAAAACAAAAGCTGGCGAATATATTATATTTGTGAAGGTATGTTCCCTGATGCTTGCTGGGAATGTTCAGGGACGCGTGTTATGTTTAATATATCCTGTCCGGTACTTATGGTGTCTGTCGGGTAACTACCAAACATATGATTTGGTAGTCACAAGGGCCTCATTCGTATATTGCGCTTAATTATTTCATGATCGACAGTCCCTGTTGGGCAGTGTGTTGAACGCTCAATCCACTCGCTTCGGCAGCGATATTGGGCGGGGTTCCTATCTTGAGATGATTTCGGGGCTTAGCGTCCCCGCGGCTCGGTCCTCGACCAGGCCTCCTTTTTGTTACACACCCCCAGGAAGCAGCCCGTAGCAGCTGACTAACTCCCAGGTACCTATTTACTGCTAGGTAACAGGGGCATCAGGGTGAAAGAAACATTTTGCCCATTTGTCTCTGCCTCCACTGGGGATCGAACCCGGGACCTCAGGATTACGAATCCGAAGCGCTGTCCACCCAGCTGTCAGGCGCCTGACAGCTGGGTTCGAGCCCATGACATGGAGGAACGATGCGCCTCTAAATAAACAGGTTATTTGAACGGCGGACTCGCTTCTTGCAGGGTCGTCGCTCGATCCCCAATGGTCAAGTTGGTGGACTCCGCTCTTACATTCCTTCCTCTTATTCCAGCTAACTGTCCTCACATTCCTTCCAAGGAGGGATATGAGGACATTATATATTTTCCTCATATTTCTTACAAGAGCTATATTGTCCTTATATCCCTTCCAAGAGCTACATTCTCCTATTGGCTTAGCGCTTTCTAGTGATAATTACCTTACAATACCAGAGGTACCACAAGGCGGGTACCGGGAGCTAGAGGACGGTAACAGCCCCGCTCCTCTGCTGTAATTTCTGAAAAGCTGAGAAGACTTATAAAGCTAAAGACTGACAGTGACTGAATAAGACTACATTGCCCACCTGGTTACAAAGCTTACTCTGGCGATTTATTATGAGTATGTGTGTAGACTCTGTAGTGACTTGATTGTAAGTCATTAATATTCAAGTAACTGCCATAAGAGACCTTGTAGCTGGTCGAGGCTTCGCTGTTAAACATCAGTAGATGGTAGACTTTGTTCCCATCGAACCAGCCTGGGGCTCCTTATCACCTTAAACACAAAACCAAGATAGAGAAAGATTCTGACTAGTCCCAGAATTAAGAGGCATAAATTACGAGGAAAGACTAAAGGTGTTAAGCTTCACATCACAGAGAGAGAAGAAACAGAGAAGACATGATTACCATATACAAAATACTTAAGGTAATAAACAGCCCTGACAAGAACATATTATTTATTAGCAGTAGTACACGAACAAGAGGATAGAGATGTCAAATAAGTGCCCAAATGAGCCACACAGACATTAGAAAGATTATTTCAGTGTCAGAATTATGACATTGTCAGAAGTGGTGGAGGCAAATTTCATACACAGATTTAAATGTAGATATGACAGAGCCCAATAGGTTCTGTACCTTCATACCTATCAATTATGGGTTGAAAGGAGCAACACTAAAGCCTTAACTCATCCTCAGCAAATATAACTAGGTGAGTACTCCCTTTTCATTTAATTTTTAATTTACAATTCTCAACAAATTAACGATTGTGAAAATTCATTTTTGTCCGAAATACAAATCTTCACAAAGTATTAATAAGTCAAACTAAGAAATATACTCAAACGCTGAAGTAAAATATTTTCCGTATGCGTGACCTCCCCATCTCTTCCCCAAGTGAATACACCTTGAACGTGGTAGGGGTCAATGCCCCCCACCACTCCACAGGGCAGTTAAGTGCCTTAGGAAGCTTTCCCCGTGGGCCAAAGGTGAAGAATCAGACTTCTTCAGAATCAGAATCAGACAAGAATCTTCCCTGTGGCCACTACTTGATCCTTTTAATTACATAGCGTCGTTAGAGCTGAATATTTAAAGTTGGTTTTGGATGTTCTTTCCTCCGTTGCTTGGGAGGAAAAATGGGGATAGTATCCCTCTAACGCCCCGTTTTCTGTTACAATAAATGACAATGTATCCCCTCCACCGCTGCTGTGTTTCAAGCTCTCAGCCCGCACACACACCAACCCACACACACAGCTTCTGGAATGCCACTTGCACCCACCTGTCCTTGTACCCACGTGTATCCAGGCGGGGCAAGAGGCGTGGTGGTAGGTTCTTACCCATGAAGACAGTGTCTTCATGCTCATCTGTCGTGTTCGTGGTTATCACCCCGGACTCTTGCTACTAAATAGTCGTAGGATTTCTTGATCTTGATCCCAATTGCTGATGCTGATTTTTACGAGACAAGAGACATTATTCTTCGCGCCATCAAAACTTCAATAAAGAAGTGAAGTATATTCCTCTTCGACTGCAGCCAGCTTAAATAAGAGGAATTATATTTATTCATTTGGAGCAACTTTATTCACTCGTCAATTTTGCGAGCCGCTATGATTTATAGAACATCATATTTTTGGCGTTGGTGATTTATGCGGCGTACTATTGACGAGGACGAGTTGTTTTAGTACTTGGAAAACACATAAGCTCAAGGAGTTGGGATGTGTGAGGACTGAGTGAGAGTGCCCATTCTCCTAAGCAATAGGGGATCGAACGCCGACCATGCAAGAAGTGAAGACGTCGTTCTACCGATCAGTCTAGTGGTTTCGTTAGTCGCATTTCTAGATATGTTTTTAAATGCTTCAGATTTGGCTTGAGTTAACCTAGAGTTTGTCTTCTACCTGAAAGTCGTCTGAATCCAGCGAAATGGACCACAAACTGCTTAAGATTGCTTGAGTGGGAGTATCTTCCTGGCCCAGTGTGGGGGAAGGTGTCGTACGTTGCTGCACCTCCTTGAGTCTCTAAACCCAGACTCAGACGCGAGCTTAACATCCCAGTGACGGGTGATTTGTATTCGTCCAGAACGCCCATAATCAATTCAATTATTACTAATTAACACTTAAAGTGGAACTCAATACGCGTAAGAATAGATAGATAATTAGATCATCCACGACTCTGTAACGAGAACTCTCAGGATATTGTAATTACTGATGAAATAGTTTCGTATAAATTATGGCATCACTGGGAAAGTCAGTAATCAATATGTTTTCTTGGTTAGTTACCATGCATAAACCGACTTCTCCAGGTATCAGTCTGTATTTTATGTTCTAAATTCGAAACATAAATTAAACATCGTCCACGTGGATGTTTATCGCGTGCTTTACCTTCACCGAAAAGTACAGCTCAAACAATATGTTCATAAGTATTCATAAAATGTTAAAAATAGTTAAGAGATAAGGTATTAGATGGCACCTCTGTGGGATCTCTCAATATAAGCCCAGCGCCCAGCTGAGGACCACCACTATCGTAGAGCAAGACAGACATTTCCACTCAACACACCTGTCAACTCCACACCTGTCGACTATAGGCCTGTACGTACACTTATAAATCATATATCTTTGTTTTATAGAGATACACATATCCCGAGAACTTTGATTTGAAAATTTAGATGCATTTTCTGTAAGTGATTTATGTAAATCATTTATGCAGTTGTGGCGGGTGTGCGCGGGTGAACTGCTGTAAATAATCATATATCTGTCAGTTAGAGGGACGAGAGTTATATTATCCTAATTTAGTATAACTATTTAGCATACAAATATAGTGACAATACTTACAGATATTAACTATAACATTAGTTATAGTAATGTTTATATTCTATAAATTACTAGAAACACAATTATATATGCACCGAGAGTTTGCTTCAGCTGTAAACATTGTTCACGATAAAAGTATAGTTGATGGTTTACCAGTAAGCTTTTGCGGTGGCCTTTGTACAGCCCGTTATCTTCACTTGCCACTTCGTAAAAAATCCACCCTACTAACCTGACTAGATGCGTACGAACCCAAGCAATCCATCTCACCTATCCAGGGCAGTGCATATAAAACGTAGATATTTGTAAGCCGTTACATTGCATATTAGGCTGTATTTGTAACGTTGGTTACTATAACGCGGGGGCCTGACAGCTGAGTGGACAGCATTCAGTATTCGTAGTCCTGAAGTTTCGGTTTCGATCCCCTGTGGAGGCGGAAACAAATGGGCAAAGTTTCTTTCACCCTGTTGCCCCTGTTTCCTAGCAGCAAATAGGTACCTGGGAGTTAGACAGCTGCTACGGGCTGCTTCCTGGGGATGTGTAACAAAAAGGAGGCCTGATCGAGGACCGGGCCACGGGGACACTAAGCCCCAAAATCATCTCAGGATAACATCAAGAAAACGACACAAGCGCAACCAATTAGTTGAGAAGACGAGTCGCTTAATGACCCTAAAAACTTACACTTTATATCTTCAAAGTAAAGTTTAACAAGTGACGTTTAGTAAGAAATAAGCAGTGAATAATAATACAATTTATAAAATTCGTGTAATATATAACAATATGTACAAAAAATGATGATAATGTGAGAATAACAACATATATTCTGAATACATTTGAACTCTAATTTTTGAACAGGTTACGTTGAGCACAGCCAGGTCCTGCGATAAGCAGAAATGAACATCAAAATTGTGAGTATAATACTCGGCTCTGAATATTATTGTAGATAAAGTACTTGTATAAATAATCTCTGGATACTGGGAATGCTCCAACATGCACGAGAAATCAATGAATTGCATGGAAGTGTACTTTATGTATGTCACCGTTTACAAGAAGAATGGTTTGTGCAGGTGTTGGTGCAGGTGTTGGTGGTGCTGGTGGCGCTGCTGGGGGCGGTGCTGGCGGGGCCGCAGCTCATCACCAAGAAGAGAGACTTCCCTGGCCAGAGGCGCCTCGGGACCACCAACTACCGTGGCCACAGTTTCGGCAAGAGAGGTTTCAGTATGCTACCAATGGCGAGTGAGTAATGGCCACCATTGTTTGGTGTGTGTGTGTGTACTCACCTAGTTGTGTTTGCGGGGGTTGAGCTCTGGCTCTTTGGCCCCACCTCTCAACCGTCAATCGACAGGTGTACAGATTCCTGAGCCTATTGGGCTCTATCATATCTACACTTGAAACTGTGTATGGAGTCAGCCTCCACCACATCACTTCCTAATGCATTCCATTTGTCAACCACTCTGACACTAAAAAAGTTCTTTCTAATATCTCTTTGGCTCATTTGGGAACTCAGTTTCCACCTGTGTCCCCTTGTGCGTGTGCCCCTTGTGTTAAATAACCTGTGTGTGTGTGTGTGTGTGTGTCTTTCTCTCTCTCTCTCTCTCTGTTATGTGCATTTTTAAATATAAATTGTATCATGTCTCATTTAATATCATATTAAAATAAGTCTTCTCTTCACAGGACAGAGGTATTAGAAGAATAAGATGACAATGGAGTCCCTTTATCCTGGAAGATGACCTGGAAATTCCATTCCTCTGGCACCTCGCTCATATCCTGAGGCAACACATATCCTGCTCGAGTTCCTTCTCTCATAATCTACATAAGGCAAACCCATAGCAAGCCCCAAATAAAACTATATATAATCAACATAACCAACCACAAGCGTCACTTCTGTTGATATGCCACCTACAGGCAACAACAGCCTGGGAATCATGCCTGTCATTGATGTCCCTGGAATGTGTGAAATGTGGTAACCTCTTCACTTTTAGCATTTTGCCCCAACCCCCTTTGATAAACACCAGTCTACAGATTTGCTCATATCATCACATTAATTTGTACTATATTGTTTTCTGTTGAGTTACGCACTTCTCTGTTTTATCTACGTTGCATGTTTTTTATATTATATTGTAGAATACACTGTTATGTTTCCTAGTTTATTAGTACGTCTGAAGGGCGCGTGAGCGAAACTCATAGTTGTTAAATATTGTAAATATGATTTTTTTTTTTTTGTAGGCGTCCATGTTAAACGCCATTTTAATATCGTTAAGTAGTAATTAACTGTATAAATATTTACGAAACGAGGGGAATAGTCATGCAAATTATATTATTGTTATAAATAAACTGTCAAACCTGTAGACTTATTTTATTCAGGCACATATAGATTCTATACGTTTATTTGTTAGGAACAACTGAACACGCTCGCCGAGGTTAGACTATGTCTATATTCTAAATTCTTAAGGAAGCATTGAGTGCTCAAGAATTAGTTCAAGAAATTTTAATGGGATAAAAACATACATTCCAAAAGGATACAGTAGCTTAGCCTATTTCTGCCCTCGAGACCAGAATCAATTTCAATCGCTTTTCCTTAAATGTTGTAACATCACTCTGGTAAAGGCAAGTTAATTACAGAATGAAAACTTTAATCTTGGTAAGAGCAATATGGAAGAATTTGTTCAAAGTAATCAATTGTGGAATTAACTAAATAATATTACATGCTACTCTGAATTAACAGTAGAACAGAGCCACGGAAAAAAGAACTGGAAATGCATCTCACACGAACCAAAGTAATAAAATAATCAACGATAAGATAGTCAAGGGAAGAACGCAGATGTTAGACGCACACAACATATGGGTCATAACTACTATTAAGAATGAAGAGAAAAGGACAATGAAAAGGTTAATGAGGTGATGTGAGCGAGGAGAAACGGAAGGCACAGCGGCAACTTTTAAGGCCCCTGACATGTGGGTATGGTTCATGTGTCTTGCAATCGTAATAATTAAATAGTAAATGTGTCCTTGTCAATATCAATTGTCTAGGCATAAATGAAAACGACTGCTTCACAAACACATCAATATACTTCATGAAGGGGTGACAAAGAAATAATAACATAAAATTCAAGCATTAGATATCTCCAGAAATGTTTAACTGTAATAATGAGGTGTAATCTCCACATAATAAAGCACCGATCAATTGAGTTTGAAAAAATAGATATACTAATATAAATGTACAAGATACATTCCTATGTTACTTGAACAAAAATATGCTCCACAGACTTATCTACTATAATACAGATCCTCTCCAGCCAGTTCCACCCACGCGATTAGCATTACATAAAAGAACACTGAATAAATACAGGAGTGAATCACGGCGCCAAGTTGGGTACACTGCGCACATCAGTGGAGACGCCATATAAGAGCATTCCTCGTATGAGACGCCACAGTCCCAACACACACACGAATAAACATGCATTAATAACAAAGAAATAAATCCTACAAGTATACAATACAACATGCTACCGTTAACATAACCCTTATATACTAGAAAACAAATGAGCATAATGCTAATCTCCCAAATAACCGAGGAAAAAATATAAGAACGTAAATGCTTTGTCATGATAAATGTCAGAATCAATTATTATTGATTCATAACAGCAACACCTCACACAATGCAATGCTTAAATTAAACTGATAAATACACTTAAGTACTCACATAATTGTTTACAAACTTATAAAATCCAGATTTCATTAAAAAACAAAGCACGTGTTCTCTTAGGAACATACACCATACACATACACATACACTGCCATTCATAATAATGTTCACAAACACGTAAACACACATGTTATTATAAAGTATTCCCAAGAGCACACACACACACACACACATTCAGTCTGATAGTTGAGTAGACAGCGCTCTGGACTCGTAATCCTAGGGTTCGATCCTGGCTGAAGGCAGAAACAAATGGGCAGAGTTTGTTTCACCCTGATGCTTCTGTTACCTATCAGTAAATAGGTACCTGGGAGTTAGACAGCTGCTATGGGCTGCTTTCTCTGTGTGTGAGTGTGTGTGTGTGTGTGTGCGTGAAAAAAATTAATTAGTAGTTAGTAACAATTGATTGATTGACAGTTGAGAGGCTGGCAGAAAGAGCAGAGCTCAACCCCCGCAAGCACAACTAGTTCAATACACACACACACACACACACACACACACACACACACACACACACACACACACACACACACACACACACACACACACACACACACACACACTACAAGTAATACAGATCTATGTATTACTGTAGAATTTAACAGTATTAAAGTTGACCATATACCATATACACATGACCATATACCAGTTGATTGACAGTTGAGAGGCGGGACCAATGAGCCAAAGCTCAACCCCCGCAAGCACAATTAGGTAAGTACACACACACAGACAAATACATTCAACTCACGAGATTTGTTTTGTTACACAGTTTATAAATAGCTTGGGTGAGGACTTTTGTATTTGTTTCTTGTTCGTTGCTTTTGTTATAATGTGGATTACAATACTTTCGTGTATTTCCTGTAATTCTCCCTGAGTCACCTGTTACTCTTCCTGAGTCACCTGTAACTCCACCTTGAGTCACCTGTAACTCTACCTTGAGTCACCTGTAACTCTACCTTGAGTCACCTTTAACTCTACCTTGAGTCACCTGTAACTCCACCTTGAGTCACCTGTAACTCTACCTTGAGTCACCTGTAACTCCTCATTGAGTAACCTGCAACGCCTTCTTGAGTCACTTGTAATTCCTCCTTGAGTCACCTGTAACTCCTTGAGTCACCTGTAACTCCTCCTTGAGTCACCTGTAACTCTCCTTGAGTCAGCTGTAACTCCTTGAGTCAGCTGTAACTCCTCCTTGAGTAACCTGTAACTCCTCCTTGAGTCAGCTGTAACTCCTCCTTGAGTAACCTGTAACTCCTCCTTGAGTCAGCTGTAACTCCTCCTTGAGTAACCTGTAACTCTCCTTGAGTCAGCTGTAACTCTCCTTGAGTCACCTGTAACTCCTTGAGTCTCTAAACCCAGACTCAGACACGAGCTTAACATCCCAGTGAGGAGTGATTTGTATTCGTCCAGAACGCCCATCAACAATTAAATTATTGCTAATTAACACTTTAAGTGGAACTCAATACGCGTAAGAATAGATAGATAATTAGATCATCCAAGACTCTGTAACGAGAACTCTCAGCATATTGTAATTGCTGATTAAATAGTTTCGTATAAATTATGGCATCACTGGGAAAGTCAGTAATCAATATGTTTTCTTGGTTAGTTACTATGCATAAACCGACTTCTCCAGGTATCAGTCTGTATTTTATGTTCTAAATTCAATATATAAATTAAACATCGTCCACGTGGATGTTTATCGGGTGCTTAACCTTCACCGAAAAGTGCAGCTCAAACAGTATGTTCATAAGTATTCATAGATAGTAAAAATAGTTACGAGATAAGACACTAGATGGCACCTCTGTGGGATCTCTCAATATAAGCCCAGCGCCCAGCTGAGGACCACCACTGTCGTAGAGCAAGAGAGACATTCTCACTCAACACACCTGTCAACTCCACACCTGTCAACTCTACACCTGTACGTACACTTATAAATCATATATCTTTGTTTTATACTGATACACGTACCCCGAGAATTTTTATTTGGAGACTTAGAGGCATTTTTTCGTAAGTGATTTATGTAAATCATTTATGCAGTTGTGGCGGGTGTGCGCGGGTGAACTGTTGTGAAGAATCATATATTTGTCAGTTAGAGCGACGAGAGTTATGTTATCCTAATTTAGTATAACTATTTAGCATACAAACATAATGACAGGACTTACATATATTAACTATAACATTAGTTTATAGTAATGTTTATATTCTATGAATTACTAGTAGACATTCATCAGTCTCAGGAAACTTTGGAGTTAGGCTCTGGTTGTCGGTTTGGAGTGACCTCTCCAGGGCGCAAAGCCAGTGTAGGTTGATACGGAGGAGAGGCTGTTACCCAAGCAGCAGGTCCCCCTCTCCACGGCGCCGAAAGTCATATATAATTACTATAAAACATAATTATGTATGCACCGAGAGTTTGCTTCAGCTGTAAACATTGTTCACTATAAAAGTATAGTTGATAGTTTACCAGTAAGCTTTTGTGGTGGCCTTTGTACAGCCCGTTATCTTCATTTGCCACTCCGTAAAAAATTCAACCTCCTAACCTGTCTAGAAGCGTACGAACCCAAGCAACCCTCCCAACATATCCAATCCAGAGCATGTAAACGTAGATATTTGCAAGCCATTAATTTGCATAGTAGGCTGTATTTGTAACTTGTTTACCATAACGCCACAAGCACAACCAATTAGTTGAGAGGACGAGTTGCTTAATGACCTTCAAAACTTGGACGGTACTTCATGTACTCGAACTGGTCTGCAACCTCTACAACAACAAGTATTACTACTACCACCACTACCACGATTACTACTACTGTTACCAATTAGTTGTATCACTACAACTACTACTATTAGTACACTACTACTACTACTAATAATAATAATAATAATAATAATAATAATAATAATAATAATAATAATAGTAATAATAGGTACACAGAACACTCCTAACACCCGAAGTCTGCTTGCGAGCAAGAGGCCAGCGACAGCAACACTACACTAACCATATAAACTCATGCATAATTACATACAATGATATACAAAGAAAGTGTAGAATCCCCGCATTGTCACATATAATTGTACAGACAAACTGTACAATTGCCAAGCAGTTCCAGCTTGAGGTCTTCAAAGTAAAGTTTAGCAAGTGACGTTTAGTAAGAAATAAGCAGTGAATAATAATACAAATAATAAAATTCGTGTAATATATAACAATATGTATAAAAATAGATGTTGTTGTAAATATAACATCATGTATTCTGAAAAAATTAAAGTTGAATTCTAATTTTGAACAGATTACGTTGAGCACAGCCAGGTCCTGCGATAAGTAGAAATGAACATCAACATTGTGAGTATAATACTCGGCTCTGAACATTATTGTAAATAAAGTACTTGTGTAAATAATCTCTGGATACTGGGAATGCTCCAACATGCACGAGAAGTCAATGAATTACATGGAAGTGTACTTTATGTATGTCACCGTTTACAAGAAGAATGGTTTGTGCAGGTGTTGGTGGTGCTGGTGGCGCTGCTGGGGGCGGTGCTGGCGGGGCCGCAGCTCATCACCAAGAAGAGAGACTTCCCTGGCCAGAGGCGCCTCGGGACCACCAACTACCGTGGCCACAGTTTCGGCAAGAGAGGCTACAGTAGCCTACCATTGGCGAGTAAGTAATGGCCACCATTGCTTGGTGTGTGTGTGTCTCTCTCTCTCTCTCTCATGTGCATTTTTAAATATAAATTTAATCTTGTCTCTTTCGGTATAATATTAAAATTAAATATTCTCTTCACAGGACAGAAGTATTAGAAGAATAGGATGATGACAATGGAGTCCCTTTATGCTGGAAGATGATCTGGAAATCAATTCCACTGGCAAATCATATCCTGCCTGAGGAACCTCACTCAACCTTCATGATTTGCTGATTGTTGCCGCCGGAGGCGGCTAGTTTATTATGCACCCCATACCCATCCTGTGAGCAGTAGCGGAAAAAGCATTACAGAGGGCACAAAAGGTCTTTATCAGACCTCATCTTAGATTATTACATAAACAATCTCATCTATCCTTCACACCTTATAGTTACAATGTCAGCTAGTTACAGACAAAGTGCCATTTCAAGAGCTATGCATTTACAGTAAGTCATTATACATTAAAGCCTTCATGAGGCACCTCGTATCCTGCCTGAAGAACATGCTCATATCCTTAATGAGGCAACACACAACAAGCCCCAAACAAGAAATATAATCTACTTGACCAACCACAAGCGTCGCTTCTGTTGATCTGCCACCTGCAGGCAACAACAGCCTGAGAATCATGTCTGGTCATTGATGTCCTTGGAATGTGAGAAATGTGTTTATCTCTTATCTTCGCTATTAGCATGTTGCCTCGATCCCCTTTGATGAATACCAATCTACAGATTTGCTCATATCATCACACTACGATGTACGATATTGTCTACTGTTGAGTTACTCACTTCTCTGTTTTATCTATGTTGTATGTTTTTTATATTTATATTGTAGAATACACTGTTATGTTTCCTAGTTTAAAAGTACGTCTGTAGGGCGTGTGAGCGAGACTCATAGTTGTTAAATATTGTAAATATTTTGTACGCGTCCATGTTAAACGCCTTTTTAATATCGTTAAGTTGTAATTAACTGTATAAATATTTACGAAACGAGCGGAATTGCCATGTAAATTATAATTACTGTTATAAATAAACTGACAAAACCTGTTTAATTAAGCTTCTTGCAACATCCGTGATGCAGCGACTCATCTCTCCTGCAACACTTAAGTTGTTCTTATTAGTGACTTCCAGGACTGGCTGTCTCCCTTAAAGTCCTCCTCTGTCTTACCTCACCAGGTGTAAGAGACTCGTTCTTATTGGTCTTCCAGGACTGGTTGTCTCTCTAGTCCTTCTCAGTGTGGTCTCCGTGGGATTATCAGGAAGTCCCCTGAACAAGCTCTGTCGTCACTTCTAGCACCTCTTGGGGGGGGGTGAGAATGGTCGCCAGCAGGAACTTGTCGTTCTTAGACATCACGCGTTATCCCTCATGACACGGAGGTCGTCTTCACCAGAGCCTCACAGATCCGGTCGTTACAAGTCAGTCATCTCCTGTAGAGACTAGTCTACCAAGTATCACAATCTACTAGTCTCTAAAGCTTCACCCTTATGTTAGTCTTGCCTCACACTCACAAGCCTCTAAGGCAAATAATGAAGGGCTGCTGACTGAGGCGAAATACATTTGTTACTTTGTATGGTTGGAAGAGGTGTTCTGGCGCCCACACTCTGCATGTGTTTGTGTCTCTACAGTTATATAGTCACTGGGCACTTTAATACTATGTACTCAAAACTTGGGAGAATGAACACACATGTCTATAATTTGTTGAGGCACATATAGATTCTATATGTTTATCTGTTAGGAACAACTGAACAAGCTCGCCGGGGCTTGACTATGGCTATATTCTAAATTGCAAAGGAAGCATTGGGTGCTCAAGAATTAGTTCAAGCAATTTTAATGGGTTAAAAATATACATCCCAAAAGAATACAGTAGCTTAGTCTATTTCTGCCCCGAGACCAGAATGAATTACGATCACTTTGCCCAAAATGTTGTAACATAACTCTGGTAAAGGCAAGTTAATTACAGAAAGAAAACTTTAATCTTGGTAACAAAAATATAAAAGAATTTGATCAAAGTAATCAATTGTGGAATTGACTAAATATTATTACATGCTACTCTAAATTAACAGTAGAACAGCAACGGGAAAAGGAACTGAAAATGCATCTCACACGAACCAAAGTAATGAAATAATCAACGATAAGATAGTCAAGGGAAGAATGCAGATGTTAGACGCACACAACATATGGGTCATAACTAATATAAAGAATGAAGAAAAAGGGACAATGAAAAGATTAATGGGGTGATGTGAGCGAGGAGAAACGGAAGGCTCGGCGACAACACTTCACACAATGCAGGGCTTAAATTAAAACAACTAAATACACTTAAGTACTCACATAATTGTTTACAAACTTATAAAATCCCAATTTCATTAGAAACAAAGCACGTGTTCTCTCAGGAACATACACCATACACTGACATTCATGATAATGTTCACAAATACGTAAACACACATGTTATTATAAAGTATTCCCAAGAGTACACACACACTCAGCCTGATAGTTGAGTTGACAGCGCTCTGGGCTCGTAATCCTAGGGTCCAGGTTCGATCCCGGCTGAAGGCAGAAACAAATGGGCAGAGTTTCTTTCACTCTGATGCACCTGTTACCTAGCAATAAATAAGTACCTGGGAGTTAGACAGCTGCTACGAGCTGCTTCCTGTGTGTGTGTGTGTGTGTGAAAAATTAGTAGTTAGTAACAGTTGATTGATTGATAGTTGAGAGGCTGGCAGAAATAGCAAAGCTCAACCCCCGCAAGCAAAACTAGGTGAATACGCACACACACACACACACACACACACACACACACACACACATTCAACTCACGAGATTTGTTTAGTTACACAATTTATGAATAGCATGAGTGAGGACTTTTGTATTTGTTTCTCGTTCGTGGCTTTTGTCATAATGTGGAATTAATTGCTGATGAAATAGTTTCGTATAAATTATGGCATCACTGGGAAAGTCAGTAATCATGTTTTCTTGGTTAGTTACCATGCATAAACCGACTTCTCGAGGTATCAGTCTGTATTGTATGTTCTAAATTCTAAACATAAATTAAACATCATCCACGTGGATGTTTATCGCGTGCTTAACCTTCACCGAATAGTGCAGCTCAAATAGTATGATCATAAGTATTCATAAGATAGTAAAAATAGTTAAGAGATAAGACACTAGATGGCACCTTTGTGGGATCTCTCAATATAAGCCCAGCGCCCAGCTGAGGACCACCACTGTCATAGAGCAAGAGAGACATTCTCCCTCAACACACCTGTCAACTCCACACCTGTCAACTCCACACCTGTCAACTCTACACCTGTACGTACACTTATAAATCGTATATCCTTGTTTTATACTGATACACGTACCCCGAGAATTTTGATTTGGAAATTTAGATGCATCTTTTCGTAAATTATTTATGCAAACCATTAATGCAGTTGTGGCGTATGAACTGTTGTGAAGAATCAAATACCTGTCAGTTAGAGCAACAAGAGTTATATTATCCTAATTTAGTATAACCATTTAGCATACAAATATAATAACAGGAATTACAGATACTAACTATAACATTTGTTTATAGTAATATTTATATTCTATGAATTACTATAAATATAATTATATATGCACCGAGAGTTTGCTTCAGCTGTAAACTTTGTTCACGATAAAATTATAGTTGATGGTTTGCCATTAAGTTTTTGTGGTGGCCTTTGTACAGCCCGTTATCTTCACTTGCCACTCCGTAAAAAATCCAACCTCCTGACCTGACTAGAAGCGTACGAACCCAAGCAACCCTCCCAACCTATCCAGCTCAGAGCATATAAACGTAGATATTTGCAAGCCATTAATTTGCATAGTAGACTGTATTTGTAACTTGGTTACCATAACGCCACAAACACAACCAATTAGTTGAGAGGACGAGTTGCTTAATGACCTTCAAAACTTAGACGGTACTTCATGTACTCGAACTGGTCTGCAACCTCTACAACAACAAGTATTACTACTACCACCACTACCATGATTACTACTACTGTTACCAATTAGTTGTATCACTACAACTACTACTATTAGTACACTACTACTACTAATAATAATAATAATAATAATAGGTACACAGAACACTCCTAACACCCGAAGTCAGCTTGCGAGCAAGAGGCCAGCGCCAGCTACACTACACTAACCATATTAACTCATGCATAATTACATACAATGATATATAAAGAAAGTGTAGAATCCCCGCATTGTCACATATAATTGTACAGACAAACTGCAGTTCCACCTTGAGGTCTTCAAAGTAAAGTTTAGCAAGTGACGTTTAGTAAGAAATAAGCAGTGAATAATAATACAAATAATAAAATTCGGGTAATATACAGCAATATGTATAAAAATAGATGTTTTTGTGAATATAACATCATGTATTCTGAATAAATTTAAGTTGAACTCTAATTTTGAACAGGTTACGTTGAGCACAGCCAGGTCCTGCGATAAGCAGAAATGATCATCAACATTGTGAGTATAATACTCGGCTCTGAACATTACTGTAGATGAAGTACTTGTATAAATATTCTCTGGATACTGGGAATGCTCCAACATGCACGAGAAGTCAATAAATTACATGGAAGTGTACTTTATGTATGTCACCGTTTACATGAAGAATGGTTTGTGCAGGTGCTGGTGGTGCTGGTGCTGGTGGCGCTGCTGGGGGCGGTGCTGGCGGGGCCGCAGCTCATCACCAAGAAGAGAGACTTCCCTGGCCAGAGGCGCCTCGGGACCACCAACTACGGTGGCCACAGTTTCGGCAAGAAAGGTTTTAGTCACCTACCATTAGCGAGTGAGTAATGGCCACCATTGCGCTCTCTCTCTCTTTATGTGGATTTTTATATATAAATTTTATCTTGTCTCATTTAATTATATTTGGTATAATATTAAAATTAAATGTTCTCTCCACAGGACTGAAGAATTAGAAGAATAGGATGACAATGGAGTCAAATTATCCTGGAAGATGATCTGGAAATCCATTCCTCTGGCACCTCATATCCTGCCTGAGGACCCCTCACTCATATCCTAAATGAGGCAACTCATATCCTGCTCGAGTTCCTTCTCTCATAATCTACATAAGGCATCCCATAACAAGCCCCAAATAAAACTATATATAATCAACATAACCAACCACAAGCGTCACTTCTGTTGATATGCCACCTGCAGGCAACAACAGCCTGAGAATCATGCCTGTCATTGATGTCCCTGGAATGTGTGAAATGTTTTTATCTCTTATCTTCGCTATTAGCATGTTGCCTCGACCCCCTTTTGATAAACACCATTCTACAGATTTGCTCATATATTCACATTACATTGTACGATTTTGTCTACTGTTGAGTTACGCACTTCTCTGTTTTATCTATGTTGTATGTTTTTTATATTATATTGTAGAATACACTGTTATGTTTCCTAGTTTAAAAGTACGTCTGTAAGGCGTGTGAACGAGACTCATAGTTGTTAAATATTGTAAATATTTTGTACGCGTCCATGTTAAACGCCTTTTTAATATCGTTAAGTTGTAATTAACTGTATAAATATTTACGAAACGAGCGGAATTGCCATGTAAATTATAATTACTGTTATAAATAAACTGACAAAACCTGTTTAATTAAGCTTCTTGCAACATCCGTGATACAGCGACCCATCTCTCCTGCAACACTTAAGTTGTTCTTACTAGTGTCTTCCAGGACTGGTTGTCTCTTAGTCTTTCTCAGTGTGGCCTCAGTGGGATGATCAGGAAGTCCCGGAACAAGCTCTATCGTCACTTCTAGCACCTCTTGGGGGGGGGGGTGAGAAATGGTTGTTACTGGCGCCACCAGGACCTTGTCGTTCTTCTCAGACATCACTTGTTATCCTTTATTAAACGGAGGTCGTCTTCACCAGAGCCTCACAAATACGGTTCGTTACATATCAGTCATCTCCTGTAGAGACTAGTCTACCAAGTATCACAATCTACTAGTCTCTAAAGCTTCACCCTTATGTTAGTCTTGCCTCACACTCACAAGCCTCTAAGGCAAATAATGACGGGCTGCTGACTGAGGCGAAATACATTTGTTACTTTGTATGGCTGGAAGAGGTGTTCTGGCGCCCACACTCTGCATGTGTTGCGTCTCTACAGTTATATAGTCACCGGGCACTGTAATGCTTTGTACTCAAAACTTGGGAGAATTAACACAAATGTCTACAATTTGTGGAGGCACATATAGATTCTATACGTTTATCTGCTGGGAACAACTGAACAAGCTCGCCGGGGCTTGACTAAGGCTATATTCTAAATTCTTAAGGAAGCATTGAGTGCTCAAGAATTAGTTCAAGCATTTTTAATGGGTTAAAAATACACATCCCAAAAGAATACAGTAGCTTAGTCTATTTCTGTCCTCGAGACCAGAATAAATTATGATCACTTTGCCCAAAATATTGTAACATCACTCTGGTAATGGCAAGTTAATTACAGAAAGAAAACTTTAATTTTGTTAACATAAATATAAAAGAATTTGTTCAAAGTAATCAATTGTGGAATTGACTAAATATTATTACATGCTACTCTAAATTAACAGTAGAACAGCAACGGGAAAAAGAACTGAAAATGCATCTCACACGAACCAAAGTAATGAAATAATCAACGATAAGATAGTCAAGGGAAGAACGCAGATGTTAGACGCACACAACATATGGGTCATAACTAATATAAAGAATGAAGAAAAAGGGACAATGAAAAGATTAATGGGGTGATGTGAGCGAGGAGAAACGGAAGGCCCGGCGACAACACTTCACACAATGCAGGGCTTAAATTAAAACAACTAAATACACTTAAGTACTCACATAATTGTTTACAAACTTATAAAATCTCGATTTCAATAAAACAAAGCACGTGTTCTCTCAGGAACATACAACCTACCCTTACATTCATGATAATGATCACAAACACGTAAACACACATGTTATTATAAAGTATTCCCAAGAGTACACACACACTCAGCCTGATAGCTGAGTGGACAGCGCTCTGGATTCGTAATCGTAGGGTCCGGGTTCGATCCCGGCGCTGGCGGAAACAGACGGGCAGTTTCTTTTACCCTGATGCGCTGTTACCTGGCAGTAAATAGGTTCCTGGGAGTTAGAAAGCTGTTACGGGCTGCTTCCTGTGTGTGTGTGTGTCGGGGAAAAAAATGTAATAGTTGATTGATGGACCGTTGAGAGGCGAACCGAAAGAGCAGAGCTCAACCCCGGCAAACACAACTAGGTGAGTACAGCACACACACACACACACACACACACACACACACACACACACACACAAATACATTCAACTCACGAGATTTGTTTTGTTACACAGGTGATGAATAGCATGAGTGAGGACTTTTGTATTTGTTTCTCGTTCGTTGTTTTTGTTATAATGTGGATTACAATATTTTCGTGTATTTCCTGTAACTCTCCCTGAGACACCTGTAACTCTCCCTGAGACACCTGTAACTCTCCCTGAGTCACCTGTAACTCCTCCTTGAGTCACCTGTAACTCCTCCTTGAGTCACCTGTAACTCCTCCTTTAGTCACCTGTAACTCCTCCTTGAGTCACCTGTAACTCCTCCTTTAGTCACTTGTAACTCCTCCTTTAGTCACCTGTAACTTCTCTTTGGGTCACCTGTAACTTCTCCCTGAGTCACCTGTAACTCCTCCTTGACTCACCTGTAACTCCCTAAGTCACCTATAACTCCTCTTTGGGTCACCTGTAACTCTCCCTGAGTCACCTGTAACTCCTCCTTGAGTCACCTGTAACTTCTCCTTGAGTCACCTGTAACTCCTCCTTGAGTCACCTGTAACTTCTCCTTGAGTCACCTGTAACTCCTCCTTGAGTCACCTGTAACTCCTCCTTGAGTCACCTGTAACTCCTCCTTGAGTCACCTGTAACTCCTCCTTGAGTCACCTGTAACTCCCTAAGTCACCTGTAACTCCTCCCTGAATCACCTGTAACTCCTTGAGTCACCTGTAACTCTCTGAGTCACCTGTAACTCCTCCTTGAGTCACCTGTCGCTCCCCCCCAGCAGTGGGCGCCACGGAGCAGGCGACAACCACTTACTAGTGTAATTGTGTACACTCAACACCTTTCAACCTGCGTCATAGCTCCCTGTGTCTGGGTACGGACGAACGGTCGCGAGTGTTGGAATGTGGCCGGCTGCCTTCCTTTGATGCACTCTAGGCTGCCTTCCTTTGATGCACTCTAGGCTGCCTTCCTTTGATGCACTCTAGGCTGCCTTCCTTTGATGCACTCTAGGCTGCCTTCCTTTGATGCACTCTAGGCTGCCTTCCTTTGATGCACTCTAGGCTGCCTTCCTTTGATGCACTCTAGGCTACCTTCCTTTGATGCACTCTAGGCTGCCTTCCTTTGATGCACTCTAAGCTGCCTTCCTTTGATGCTATCCACGCTGCCTTTCTTTGATGCTCTCTAGACTGCCTTCCTTTGATGCACTCCATGTTGACTTCCTTTGATGCACTCTAGGCTGCCTTCCTTTGATGCACTCTCGGTTGCCTTCCTTTGATGCATTCTAGGCTGCCTTCCTTTGATGCACTCTAGGCTACCTTCCTTTGATGCACTCTAGGCTGCCTTCCTTTGATGCACTCTATGCTGCCTTCCTTTGATGCTCTCCATGCTGCCTTTCTTTGATGCACTCAACGCTGCCTTCCTGTGATGCACTCAACGCTGCCTTCCTGTGATGCACTCAACGCTGCCTTCCTGTGATGCACTCAACGCTGCCTTCCTGTGATGCACTCAACGCTGCCTTCCTGTGATGCACTCAACGCTGCCTTCCTGTGATGCACTCAACGCTGCCTTCCTGTGATGCACTCAACGCTGCCTTCCTGTGATGCACTCAACGCTGCCTTCCTGTGGTGCACTCAACGCTGCCTTCCTGTGATGCACTCAACGCTGCCTTCCTGTGATGCACTCAACGCTGCCTTCCTGTGATGCACTCAACGCTGCCTTCCTGTGATGCACTCAACGCTGCCTTCCTGTGATGCACTCAACGCTGCCTTCCTGTGATGCACTCAACGCTGCCTTCCTGTGGTGCACTCAACGCTGCCTTCCTGTGATGCACTCAACGCTGCCTTCCTGTGATGCACTCAACGCTGCCTTCCTGTGATGCACTCAACGCTGCCTTCCTGTGATGCACTCAACGCTGCCTCATAGCCCCACGTGTCACTTTCCCCAAACAATGCACTCAACGTTGGACTCAACGCACGTAAACAAGTAACTTGGCAATTTATCAATTGCGAGTTACAATCTTCTGTTAGCAGTAATCCGGTATCAGCTGTTTTCCCTCTAACAATTGTAATGTTCTGTTAAATGTAATTCTCTGTCAGTGTAATCTTAAATCCCCTAATCACTCTAAGCTTCTATAAGTTATATATTTTCCCAGAGTTGTTCCAATCTCCCTCTAATTCTAATTAGAGGGAGATTCTAATTCTAATGTTCTAATTTCGCCCATGTGGATCTTTAGGTTTTGATGCGAATAATTGATCCAATATGATAAGCATTCACGAGATAAATTTCCATTGTAACATTGCTAAGTCTTGGCTAATTACCATGCATGAAAGAACACCTCGGGTTATCAGAAGTTATTATATATCATTATATATGTCATTATATATCAACGCTATATAGAAGCACTGGACGGTAATCACATTAATGTTTACGACTTAAATATTATACTCTGGTGTGAGTATTACTTTTTGTAAAAGTTAAAGAGTGTGTTAAGGACTAAAATAAATGGGGTTGGTAAGGCATTAGTTGGCATCATTGCGGGGTCGGTCGGATATAAGCCTGTAGATCGGCTATCTGGAACTAATTGTAGAAAGTCAGCGCCGCTGGAAGACTCAGGACGGCTTTCCCATCAACTATAACAATCAACAATACTTGCGTATGTACCTTTACTATTTAAATAATAATGTCCTACACTTGGGATGTTATATATGATATCTATACTTCGTGTATCTAAGTTATTTGTGAAGACGTAGATAGTTATCTGAGCTTGTCAACTGGTTCTCTCAACTGATACGTCTCTTTATATACCTTAAGGTCCTCAACATACAACATTTAAAGTTTTATAAAAAGTAGCCCCTCACAAATATCCACGTTTTCTATGCATTGGGAGGTTAGGTTAGGTGGGTGGCTTAGGATCATACGCTTCTGGTTAGGTTAGCACTTTGTATTTTGTACGTTGTGACAAATGAAGAGAACGCTCTGCATAAATATAATTGCTAATTGTAAGTATGGTATTACAGACAAGAGTGCTTACTCTCTTGAGCACTCAACTGTGCACAAGAGCAGACCGGCCTGTACCTCACTTTGAGCCTCACTCTGAACCTCACTCAGTAGTGAGTAGTGAGTGGGACGAAACGTCGTCGTCCCTTCACCTTCTAGTGTGTGGTCTGGTCAACTCACTCTGTACCTCACGCCCTGGCCTCTATGTCACAGATTTCCATAAACTTGCACAAACTTATTTGATTCATGACAGCAAATGTGCCAGTACCTGAGCTGAACTCAGGTACTGAGCTCACCAACACCTGAGCTTAGGTTCATCAGCAAATATGCTGACACACCGGCAAGTATACTTTAGTTCTCAACATTGCTCAGGACTACAGTAAACCCCTCGGTGAATATTCATTGCAAATGAGAGCATACCTCAGTATACATATCTCCCTGTGTTGCAGCGCATTGCCTGTAACTTGTGATAATTTATTTAAAAACTATATAAACAATTATATCCTCACAATAATAATAAAAACTATGCTCACAATAATGAGCATCAATAATGAGCGCACTTTTGTATAACTATTTTGTCGATCGTATCAGTATGTAGTAATGGAGCCGCAGTCAGGCACTTTTGTACTGTTTTTTAATAGAATTCGAAACAAAAATAGCTAAAACCCAAACTTAAATATTCTTTGGTCTAGTATACCACATATATGTGCTATATTAGGCTTCAGTTAGCGTGTATTAGGCTTAGGAAAGTTAGGTTTTATTAACAACATAAGCATAAACACTTTTCCGGTTTGTGCAAATTTAATAATACAAAAGTCTACTTTCCTTCACGACATATATGTTCTTTCAACCACATTGTCACTGTAATACTTTCACACCCGCCGTCTTATACATTAACATAGACTTGCATTAATAAATATAAATTAAACCACTCCCAGCATTACTAATACCCATGCTTCTTTAAGGATACCAGGATTATTTAAGATATTAGCAAAGCGTGAATTCAGTGTTTTCGAGACAGTCGACATATACTACGAATTTATTGTCGACCTTTAAGTTGAAATACTTTATTCGACAGGTTTTTGACGAGCTCAGCAGCCCACTGTGACTACCAACTATGAACTTTAAATATGTAAGTAAACTCTCATGCTCTTAAGCTGTTTTGAAATGTTAAATATAATAAAATAGAACCAAAATTCAAATTAAAACCAAATCGATTATTTTAAGTAATATTTGTGTATTATGACTGTATTTATTAACATGTAGATGGTGTTGAAATATATCATATCAGTTCTCTGGATTTGTCATAAATGATACTATGCCGGACAACAACAGGTGTTGCTGGTGTTGGTGGTGGTGTTGGCGGCGGTGTTGGCGGCGCCGCAGGTCATACTGAAGAAGAGACAGTTCCCTGGGCAAAGACGGCTTGGCGTCAGGAACTATGGCGCCCATACCTTCGGAAAGAGAGGCTACAGTTCCAAACGTTTGGCAAGTGAGTTGGAATACCATTGTCTGTTTATCTCTCTCTCTCTCTCTCTCTCTCTCTCTCTCTCTCTCTCTCTCTCTCTCTCTCTCTCTCTCTCTCTCTCTCTCTCTCTCTCTCTCTCTCTCTCTCTCTCTGACGGAACATACCAAAGCAACTCACAAAAATTGTAATTCATTGTTTTTCCTTTGGCTTATGAGGATACATTTTTTCATTCCTTGTTTTGATCTTATCTTTACAGAACTGAACTTGTAGATGAAGAATCCAACCATAAAGGAAGTCTATACCTGAAGTGCCTCGCTCGAATCCTTCAGTTAGACCGTAACTGGTGACCTGGTTTACATAGGTGGCAATGTGACCACCAGTTACTGAAAAACAAGGAGACACTACTCAGGTTGTTGCATCAACAACCTACTTCAGACCTGGCCCAGTGTGTGCAGTCGTTGAGAGACCGCACAGGTGGAGCCGTTTGATTTTATATAATTTATGCTCTTTTTATTTCATCCAGTGATAAAGCAGTTAGCATAAAAATGATCTTAATACTTATTTGCTTTAATTCTAGTAAATTATGTTTGTTGTTGTTGATTTTGATTTTTTGTTAATCTGTTTTACGTCTGTACTTGTGTGTGTGTTTGTGTGTTTCGTTAAGTAAATGACTGTAACCAACGATGTGTTCATTGTGAAAATAGGAATATTTATTATTATCTATATACAGTACAAATAAATGCCTAAAGATACGTTATATCTTATTTTAATACCAAAAGTGTTAGTGGAATTTTTCCATTGCCAGATAATTTGAATGAGTTGTTTCCTTCAAGCTAATTCAAACATGAATAGTAAACAAAAGGAAGTATTCCATTGCTTTTGACCTGATTACAGTCTGTGTACAAAAGCATCAAGACTGTACTTAGGAGAGATACAGTAATGTATATATATATATATATATATATATATATATATATATATATATATATATATATATATATGCATATTCACTATCTTTCATGCCATGATAAACCAGCGAAAATATCTAAAATCTGACATATTCTCAATGTATCTGAAAGTTAGAGAGTGCGTCATCCTGAAAATTTAATGATGTCAAATATACCAAATTTTCAAAAAGGACTTCATTATCCCAGATGGTTTAGCACATGAACGAATCTTTTCAGCTAGAACGTCATATATACAATGGTCCCACAGACCAGTGAGTATATCAGTCTTTTGATAAGCATCTTATTGCTTCGTAATTACAATTATTACTTAACCTATACCTATAATAGGTTAAGTAACAATTGTAATTACGAAGCTATAAGATGCTTATCTTAAGATACTAACAAGGTTAGGTAAGGTCGGTGTTTTCTATGAAGCTTTTTAAGGGTATCTATTATGTTTAGTATGTCACCTATGCACTTATTTAATAAGTCAATATTGACTTTACGAATTTGCGAGAACGGGTTGCAACCAGTCTTCCCTGGCTTGATAAATGAAAAACTACAAGAATTCGTGTCGAGAGAGAGATGTGAAACCAGCCTATAAGTGCACGAATACCATTAGTTAGCAAATTAATGCTCTGGACAAAGTGTAGATATTAGCGGCAACACAACAAAACACATTCACTAGGGCGGGACCAAAGAGCCAGAGCTCAACGCCCCACTAGCACAATTAGGTGAGCCCAAGAGAGGCACATCAGGGTAGGAAATAAGCAGATGCAGTGGCCACAAAGGTTAAAAGTTAACGTTGATTCAGCGTTAAATCAACGCTATCGACGTTAGTTCAACGATGAATCAAAGTTGAAAACGTCGATTCAACATTTAAATTGACGTTACTCTTGGGTACTGTGCCCAGTGGAGAGTTATGTTTCTGTTCACCATACTGGTCATAATATTGAGTTTAGAACAACAGATTAATGTTGAGGGTCAACGAGTATGTTCAGAGATGAGTTGTGGAATGAAGCATTATATCCCCCGTGTCAAACACGTCTGAGGGTCAGTCTAATGTTATCAAAATACTTCACGCCAGAGCTTATGGAGCACTTTCTCTGCCCAGGTGCAGTGAGGTGATCTTGGACTGGGATCAACTCTCCCTTGATACACTGTGTATGATATATATATGTGTGTGTGTGTGTAAATCACGAAAATTAACACGTGATGAAAAATATGACAGTGTCAGACCACGGAAGAAGAATTGAAACAGGAATTTCCGTAAGTACTTTCGTATTTAATAATACATCTTCAGAAGGAATGACTGGAATGACAGAAAGCCCGATCATTCCCTCTAAAGATGTATTATTAAATACGAAAGCACTTAAGGAAATTACTGTTTCAATTCTTCCTCCGCGGTCTGACACTGTCATGTATATATATATATATATATATATATATATATATATATATATATATATATATATATATATATATATATATATATATATATATATATATATATATATATATATATATATATATATATATATATTTCTTTGAATATGACTGCATATTCTGTGTTATTATTTTTCTTGTTTAGGGCTTCTATCCCTCTGACTAGTGCTCTTGCATCTTGATTTAATTGGAAGAGGATTTCTCCAAATGTCATCTTTGTTCAAGGTAAACTAAAAAGAATAATTAACTGTAGACTGTTACACTAATTATATATTTACATAACGTTTCGAACCTACATGGTTCATTCTCAAGTGATGGGACAGTGATTGGTGATCAAACCACCGAAGAGATGGCATCGGTATGAATAGCCCGTAATGGGAGAGTGCTGTGCGTATTGGATTTATACCATAAGGGAGGTCAGGTACATAATACAAATAGACGAGGAGTCTCCGTCGTCCTCTGGCTCTCGCAAGCATTAGCAATGTTCAGTACGCTCCTACTGACGTCACCGCCGCTGCTCCCAACTACCAACTACACATCCACTATAATACGACTCGTCCGCTGGTTCACAGTGATGGTGGGAGGGGCGGGAAGATGGAGAGGGAAGGGGAAGGTTTGGTAAGACGAGAGAAGAGCCGGAACAGGAGGGAAGGGAAAGGACGAGGTGAGATGAGTTGGTGTGGAGGAGACGGAGGTCTCACCGGCCGGCATATCTTCCACACAACGTGATGCAGCGTCACTTGGAATAAACTCCGTCACTCTCCAGCGAGAGATACACAGCAGCATCACCTCTTCATGCATCTTAGTTTAAGTGCATTCTTTGAACTGTTATTTATATAAATGGTTAACAAATTTTGGGTTTAACGTTGTGCTGCTTCCCCCACACACGCCAAGTCTGTCCCCAGTCTTCGTAATCTTCCTCTCCTCCTTTCTCACACCCACACCACACTCTGTAAACCTGAATCCATGTCATTCAACACGTAAATCTTTTCACACAAATATAAACATTATCACAAACACTCACCAGCATCCACAAACACACATTAAGATGCATGTATATACATTCACATCACGAGACTTCTTCAGCCATCGCTTATAAATAGCTTTGGTGAAAACTTTTGTATCCATTTCTCACCTGTTGCTCTTATTCAAATGAGGCTTACAATTAAAATATGTATAATATCTGATATATATTTCATGAGGTTATATTCTTTAATTAATTAGTCTTTATAATTTAAACACAGATATGTGTTGCAGGCGATGAGTCACAATAACGTGGCTAAAGTATGTTGACCAGACCACACACTAGAAGGTGAAGGGACGACGACGTTTCGGTCCGTCCTGGACCATTCTCAAGTCGACAATCGACTTGAGAATGGTCCATGACGGACCGAAACGTCGTCGTCCCTTCACCTTCTAGTGTCTGGTCTGGTCAACAGATATGTGTTTAAATCTACAATATAGACCTATTGTATTATGTATGATCCTCTATCCTTTATGGGCTGTGAATATAAGCAGCATCTTCACTACAATAAGGCCGAATTGAATTACTCCGATTAGGCAACTATTATATATAGTTATTATATAATAATAACTACGCAACAAGCATATGCCAAAATCACAACGAAGTAATGTGATTACCTCGTTGAGCAATGTTAAAATAGCGTGTGTGTGTGTGAGTGTGGGAATAGGATCCATCTGGGAGATGCTTAGGATGCTGGAGGCTACATCCTCAGCGTATCCTTGAGAACAATGGTCAAGATCAAGGCGACTTGCTCTGCTTTTATAATCAGTTATTATTTTTTTTACTTTTCTTAGTACTAGAGGGTACAAAGCAGGTCGTAATGTTCATCCTCAGGGGTGAACATAACGAGCGGGGTGCCTGAGGGGTGAACAAAGCGAATAACGCACTTTGAGTCACAGGAACTAGCAGTTGCTAGTTCCTGTGACTCCTGGGACAGGTTTTGGGTTCAATCTTCTTTATAATCTCTATAAACTACTTCAAAATAGTTTAACTTTACAAAATAGTAAATGGTACAAAAATTAATATCTTTAGAACATAGAACTAAATGTATTTTGCATATAACGTAATGTTTTCAGGTAAATTCAGGCGTTCCGTGTTATTAGAGAAAAATTTAAATTAAAAATATTTTGTTATTATTTTATGTGAAACACTGGTGACAGTCATGAGGAAAAAACTACTATTTTTATATTTTTTGTTTGCCAATCCCTCCTCTATTCAGCTAAAAAATATAGGATTTAATGGATTCATAGGATTCAGTCTTTCAGATAGCGACTGTCTGTCTTGTTTTCAAAGCATTGGCGAACATCCCAAACCTCATTTAACTCCATTCTAGATTACGCGAGAGCCACGTAGGCTGTTCCACACGTTATAGTAATGTCAAGTACCTAATGACGCACTTTGAGCCACTCGAACTGGCTGATGCTGGTCCAGGCCTCAGGGAGTTATCCGGCTCCTCCAGAGTTCTACCACCTGCTCATGAACCAAGGGGTCAGCACTCGGGGTCTTCCTGAGGTCTGGCACGTCACCCGGACCATGTGTCAGCTCTCGGGGGGTTCACTGGGTCTTCCTGAGGTCTGGCACGTCACCCGGACCATGGGTCAGCTCTCGGGGGGTTCACTCGGTCCTCCTGAGGTCTGGCACGTCACCCGGACCATAGGTCAGCTCTCGGGGGGTCGGGGGGTTCACTCGGTCTTCCTGAGGTCTGGCACGTCACCCGGACCATGGGTCAGCTCTCGGGGGGTTCACTCGGTCCTCCTGAGGTCTGGCACGTCACCCGGACCATGGGTCAGCTCTCGGGGGGTTCACTCGGTCCTCCTGAGGTCTGGCACGTCACCCGGACCATGGGTCACCTGAGAGGTCCATGACGCTAGTTCCGGCCTTCAGTCAGTTTCCTTTCCCCGTTCTTCTGGTGCAGCATCGTTGATGAGATCGTCATAAAGGAATCACCTAACTTGTCCTCTTCCACTCTGGTGACGCAGATGTCTTTAAACTAAACCATTGGATATAATGTAGGGCATTAGTTGTGAAGGATGAGTTTAGCATGCATCCACAATCTGTATAAAATGATTTTGTACAGTATATCACAGTACTCGGTAGCGATGCTGTTGGTTAAATATTGTGAAGCAGATGGCTCACGTGGCGGTGACCGCGACTATAAACAATCCTGGAGCGCCTTACCAAGTGGTATCAGGCCGAGGATATCATGGCTCCTGGTGCTAGTGACTGTCTTATAAGTTTAACCACCTGACAGTGATGGCTCTTTGCCTGGCTGTTTATGGCCGCCTTGAGACATTAATGATGAACATTGTAATAAAGTCGAAGAAGGCTTGGATTTACGTTATTTACTTTAACTTGTTTTACTTTATTTACTTTAACTTGGATTTACTTTATTTACTTTAACTTGGATTTACTTTCTAAAACGTGGCACACTTTAAAATATATAATTATAGGCCGTGCAGAATGTCATGTAATGTGTCATGCAGTATGTCACGTAATGTGTCATGCAGAATGGCAGGCAGTATTTCTTGCAGGCTGTCATGCATAAGTTGTTTCATTTAATTGTCCTGACTAAGACGTCTGCCCTAAGTATGGCAAGTAATGTAGCCTCACGTGACTCACTCGACAGTCACATCCGGCCAGTGCTCGATATGTTACTACTCATCAGGGCAAATATTACAGTTTCTTAAAATGAATTGAGTTTCAGCTTGAGTGCCACATAGCAGCTTTTTAGACAAAAGCAGAAAGTATTATTCCAACGTTTAAAGTAGGAGGAAGCAAGTTATTTACATATTTTGATAAAATTAAAAAAAACATGACACTATCAGTCCTGAACAGAATATTCATCTCACAATTTATTACAAGAAGAAGTGTTCTTATTCTTGTAATAATTTTCTCAATTATTGCTCTAATTGGCAATTTGCTCAGGAAGAACTCTCCTGACAACAAACGCGACACATTGAAACAGGTGAATGTTTTGATGACCAAACCACACATCAGAAAATGAAGAAACGGCTACATTTTCTGATGTGTGGTCTAGATATCATATCTTCAGCGACGGTCCTGTGATTCATCGTCTGCAGATGAATGTTATAAATTCTTGCCCATGTCCACTGACAACTGTCAGGCCCAACACTCTCAATATATGGGCAAGACGACACTATCTCTTTCAAGGCACCAAACAATACAACAACAACAACAACAAGGATCAATTAAAGATCACATCATTTCCGCACTGAACCAGAATATCACCAGAGATATCCTGACAAGAAAACCAAAATATATATATATAGCAACAATAAAACCCAGACAAAGCAAGGCCACTTCACATCAGATATATCCAAGTTCTTCTTTCCTTAGCAGTAACAGCGGCAAGGTCTTGAGCCCACGAACAGTCCCAGCCGACCAATCACAATGGAGAGAGACATTACCCTGTTGTTCAGCCAATAGGGTCCCCCCGTGCCATCTCAAATCCTTATCCTGATCCCTTCCATGTGCTATATAGTCGTAATGGCTTGGCGCTTTTCCCTTCATAATTCCGTCTCTCAGCCATAGGAAGGAGCAGATCCCGCATCTCTAATATTGCCAGGCATATACAGTACCCACTATCACCTTAACACAGGTCGGATTGTAATTTTAAGACACTGAAATTATACATTAAGACCTAATTAATTTTTATATTGACTGAAAACCGACAGAAGCATTTCACTGCTGAAAAGTGCACGATTCTAAGCCAAAAATTATATAAAACTGGTACGAGATATCAGCTAAACTTTACTTAAATTTCTTAATCGGATTAAGTAAAAGACTTGGAGTAAGGATTGGCTAGGACCTGGAACCAATAAAACATTGCATAAATGTTGCATCTAAGACCATGTGTGTTTGTTATTATTCACATATGAATCAGATGACAATAAATACACTTCAGCTTGATCAGGCCCATGAAGGTCACCATTTGGATTAAGCTCTAAAATATCTTAAAAGTAAACACAGAAGCATAATTAAGTTAATTCTGTGCATTAAGAAACTTAATTTTTATTTTCAAGCAAGTAAACAAGTGAACTAAAGGTTTCGAAAAGAGGGATGTATTGAAGATATTTTAAATATTTATTTACTTATTTATTTATTTATTTATTTATTTATTTATTTATTTATTTATTTATTTATTTATTTATTTATATACAAGAAGGTACATTGGGTTTGTGAGAATACATAGCATAGTATTTACAATCTTGTAAAGCCACTAGTACGCGCAGCGTTTCGGGCAGAAACGGAATATTAGCACAATTTCAAACACTGTCGATTTTAGTTGGATAAACTGTTATCTGGAACAGCAGTTTAGAAAAAGATTACAGATGGGTGGAAAAGTTACAAATAAATATTTAACTTCCTAGGAAGCATTTTTTTTTTACGGATAAATGCTTGGGAGTAATTGGACATAATGACGAAAGGACTCGAATGGACTTATAAGCTTCGTAAATAATTGTTGTTATTCTATTATAGCTTCCAAGAATTCTTCCAAGAAAAACTATCCCTCACGTCCAGGTTTCGTTGCAGGAAGAATGCAAGATCCTCCCGCGTTATCATTGCAACATTGCGCAGTCCAGGTTAATTACCATGTACAATCAAATGCAATGGATTATCAGAGTTTATTATTGATCTGCGCAATATACATAAACATCATTCGTTTATCACCCCTATGTTTACGGCTTGAGTCTTATCCTTTGCTGTGCATTTTGTGTTTAGAATTGCAATGATTTTCCTTAATTCATAAGAAAACTGGTTGTTAGGATGTAAGGCATTAGTTGGCATCTCAGCTGAATCTGTACAGAACATATAAGGCGTCTGATGGACTCAGACGTCCATCAGTAAGTGTTGAAGATCTCCAACTGCTTCAGGTAGTGACAGACTTGCAGCTTACCAAGCTCAACTTGCAGCTAACACAACCAACAATGAACATTAAACCTGTAAGCAATCTGCCCCGCTCTCTTTTCGATTGGAAATGTGTAAAACATTTATGTACAATCAATAATGTACTGGTAGTAATGTCTGGGTTTTTTCCCCTGGGATGAAATATATCATATAGGTCGTGTCGATATATATCTTTTATCTTCCTTCATTTTCTAAAAGTGAAACTCTCTGCTACGACGACAGGTGTTGCTGGTGTTGGTGTGGGTGTTGGGGGCGGTGTTGGGCGCCGCGCAGGTCATCATGACACCCAGAGACTTCCCGGGTCAAAGACGGATGGGTACCAGGAACTTCCGCGGTGGCCACAGCTTCGGCAAGAGAGGCTTCGTGTCTAAACCAATTGCAAGTAAGTAGTGTCTGTCTATCTGTCTATCTCTCTTAAACCTCCTTATATCCTCGCCATTTGCTCACATCAACTTTTAATTTAACATAATATTGTATTTTCTTCAACTTGTTTCTCGCGTTTCACCACACACCTTCGCTTCTTCTGCACAGGACTTTCGTGAGAGGAACAGAATAACAAAAAGTGAAGTTTTAATCCAGCCAGACGGTGCGAGAAGTTCTACTGGACCCGATAGGTATCTCGCCCATAACGTGCAGGAATCACCTCGCTAAGGTCACTAACAGTTACTGGAGCATGGAAAGGAAATGATGCACAGTCTGCTGTACCAACAACCTGGCTGATTGTTAGTATACATAGAGTGGTAATACTAGTGAACTAGTGCTTTGAAACATTAAACCTTACATGCCATCTATAAAATAAACACTTTGACAATTTTGATTATATATATATAATATATATATATATATATATATATATATATATATATATATATATATATATATATATATATTATTATTATTATTATTTTATATATATATATATATATATATATATATATATATATATATATATATATATATATATATATATATATATATATATATATATGCGAACAAGCCTGAATGGTCCCCAGGACAATATGCAACTGAAAACTCACACCCCAGAAGTGACTCACACCCCAGAAGTGGTTAGTTATATATATATATATATATATATATATATATATATATATATATATATATATATATATATATATATATATATATATATATATATATATATCGTGATTGAATATGTATTTAAATAATTAAATCCTATCTTGCAACTAATTCAGTGTGAATCTTGTATGTTGATGTTGTATTTTAAGGATTTATTGTAGACAAAAGTACAAACTATTTTTTTTAGTAAGATTAAGTGCAAAAATAGGAAACTTAAGGATTATAAAAATGTATGTTTATAAATAAACGAATAAATCAGCTTTTGTATTTTGTATCATAATGCCAAATATGCCTCAAAATATTAACATTTGTAGTGGTTGCCACCAGTACACCTGGCTACCCAGGTAGCCTCACAATCAGGGTAATTTCTTAGCCCTAGTAGTCTCATAAGTTTGATAGTCTCTCGTAACAGAGAGCCTTCCACGCCAGACACATCGTAAGATAAGGACGTTACGAAATACACTGACAGCTGGTCAATTGTTACTGACAGCTGGTCACTTGTCACTGACAGCTGGTCACTTGTCACTGACAGCTGGTCACTTGTCACTGACAGCTGGTCACTTGTCACTGACAGCTGGTCACTTGTCACTGACAGCTGGTCACTTGTCACTGACAGCTGGTCACTGGGGTGTACTCGCCTCCATATTTCAATAAGCTCTCGAATTTTCTCGTTTTCTTTTGAGTTTATTAGTCATGGGTGCCACGCCGGGGGCTACATACTCAAGATTCGGTCTTACGGAGACTGCATTCCACATTCTGAAAACTTGTTGTAAAAGCTCCTTATGTTTGGGCAACAGAGTAAACTATTTATTATAATAATTTTGGTGTTATTTTCTCTCGGAGGTTTTTTTGTTCCTTTTCCAATCCTCATAACTTTGAATATATCAGGATTGTAACAGTAGTTATGTCTCTGGTCACTTCCAAAACTGTGTCAAGGTCGTCTTGCAGTCTCCATTATATATTTCATATCCTAATTCTTCTCATAAACTTCACTTATCTGCAAATACGTGTGTTTAAAATTATATTTGCCACTATGAACCTCCGTTTCCTTTCCATGAAGTATTACTTATCCTCTCAAGTGCTATTCAACTTAAAAAAAATCTCAATCCTATATTAGTTTGTAATGCGCATGATGATCGTCATGGTCTTTGTATCTGTCGGTCTTAAACCACTCCAACGAGGCCTTGACCATTGAACAAATAATATAACGACTCTTCAACCTTTCGTCTGAGTCGTAGTAGCAGTAGCGAGTTTAACCATCGTAAAATTAGGACAGAGTCTGCCTTCTAATGACTCGTTGACAGCGCTTAGTGGATTATTAAATACAATTGTGTGTGTGTACTCGCCTAGTTGTGCTTGTAAGGGTTGAGCTTTGGCTCTTTGGTCCTGCCTCTCAACCGTCAATTTGCTGGTGTACAGATTCCTGAGCTTCTCGAGCCCTATCATATCGACATTTGAAACTATGTATGGAGTCAGCCTCCACCACATCACTTCCTAGTGCATTCCATTTACTAACTACTCTGACACTGAAAAAGTTATTTCTAATGTCTCTGTGGCTCATTTGGGTACTCAGCTTCCACTTGTGTCCCCTTGTGCGTGTACCACCCGTGTTAAATAATCCATCCACATGTGTGTGTGTATGTGTTTGATTTTATCCTGCTTGTCCTAGGTGGTCGAAAGATATAGCTTCATATTTTATCCTTTTTTTAAGTAATATTTTTTGGGAAAAAATCAAATTTAGCTTGATAAGAGTCAGTGTTTCCTTGAAGCCCATTCTCGTTGGTTTTGGACGTGCTAACTAAAGGAAATTTCTCATTACTGAGACCATCAATTGCTTTTATGAGTGTGCCTTCTTCTAGACCTGGGGCCAGATTCATGAAGCAGTTACGAACTCTCAGGAAAAGCGCTTGTTGTTGTTGTTTAAGATTCAGCTTCTAGGAACAAAAAGTTCCAAGTAGCACGGGCTATGGTGAGCCCGTAGTAGACTTAACCTGGCACAGGAGCGGGGCTGTAACTTGGAAAAGCTCTAAGGCGTCATGACTATATAGAACTTGATGAGGAAAGAACCCGCAGTGAGTTGGGAGGAAGAGGTGGGGAGGAAAATGGGATACTGGTGGGGAAGAAAAGAAGGGCGATGTTGGATGTTGGTGCAATCACATCCTTGATTCGCCACAACGTACGAAATACAAAGTGCTAACCTCACCGAACCCAGATAACCTTATTAAACATACGGATGCATAGACAGCATGAATATTTCCCCCCTCCAATAGTACATTGAATTTTAACAAATATATCTGCAACAGCAAAATATGAACTGTCATTCACAGCGGCTCTCAAAACTGACGTAATTTCACGATTTCTATTCTTGGGGCCTCGGTTAGATTCGTGCAATTACATAATTTTTTTGGTGACGTAACAACTCATGCGGACGGGCAGACTTTTCATAGTACTTTTTATTGTGTACGTTAGTGACCGTAGCTCACAGAATAAGGCGCATTAGTTAAGATCCAGGGTTGTAGGAGACGGTGAAGGCGGGGTGAGGGGTGAGGGCACTGTATGCTCGCAGGGGAGATTAGCCATTCTGAGGGCGTCGGGGTGAGGCGGTACAACTAGGCTTTTGCTTGATCGAAGGTTCAGTTGGTAGAGAGGAGCTGGGTGTTGTTGTGCTTGAGATTGATGTAGACAGGTTAAGAGGGAGTGTGGAGGCATACAAATACAAATCGAAAGATTTGTCTGGCTTCGAAGATTTGTATGAATCTTCTGGCTTTGTAAGATTTGCATGGCTGGGTTGTGGGGGGTCGATAGAGCGAGGGGGGTGGGCTTGGCATAGTACGCTACTTTTCATAATATATATATTGTTGTATTCATAATATATATATTGTATTTATCATATGAATTATGAATACAAATGTATAATAAACTTATGATAGTCTCAATTTATTAGAAATTCATATTTGATCTGAGCTCATCCCTGCCCTTCCCCACAGTACAGTTGATTAAGAGATGCAAATTCCATTCTCACTTACTCCCAAATAGAACAGCTTGGGGGTTACACTCTCGCTTCCCATGACGAAATCCGCAACGTCCTGGTTAATAACATTTCGTATAACGGGATAATCGGTTTTCGAACCGATTTTGAAAAAAAAAAAAAAAAAATTTGTCCTATTTGAAAAATAGGAGCCTCGCCTCTATCAACTAGGCCAGAGTGCTCACAGCTGCACCTAATTGGGCGCTCCCGTGAGATTACTGGGTGTCCCAAGTGTCCCAAGTGGTGTCACTCCCCTGGGACACCACTTGGGCACTCCGCACCTTCACTCTTGTCAAACAAGATGTAGTTCATAATATCGTGGGAAATAACATTTTATTAACGTGAGTTAATAACATGCATCGGGGGATGCAAACTCGGAACATTCCAACCATTAGGTGGCCGGCTCTAGTAACCAGTGAGTGTCAAGACACTCAGGCCTGGCCACTCACGTGTCAGAACACCCAGGCCAGGTCACTCACCGTGTGTCACAGTAAACAGTGACGGAGCCGGGGGTCACGCAGACAGCTTAAGGATGCCACGTACTTACTCACCGTCATTAAATAGTACTGTTTATGAAGTTGTATCACATATAACCCTAAGATATGAAGTTTAATTGTGCATGACATGTTCAACAAGCTTAAGGATCTCGATAGTTCAATTGGGTTCGTTGTCCGCTCGCAAATCGAGAATCCAGGGTTCTAACCCCGGGGGGGACAGACATAGTTGAACACGTTTTCTATCACCTAATGTCTCTGTTCACCTAGCAGTAAATAGGTACCCGGGAGTTAGTCAACTGTTATGATTTGCATCCAGAGGAGGCTCAGTTGTACGACTTAAGAGGGACCGCGATTTAAGCCTAACATATATTAATATATACACAGGCTGCGTGTCCCCGACAAAATGATTTGTGATAATTGTGTTGTGTGTCAATTATCTACTGCCACAAGATAATGCTTCATAGCCTCAGTAACTATAGTTATTATGACCTGAATTATAGTGAATGTTAACAGCATCCTCACGGTCAAAATACCTGCCTGAATTATTTAGTTTAGGCTAAGCACTATATGAACTTTGTTAATAAAAAGCTTTAATAACACTAAGTGACTGCAGTAGGCTATCACTGCCGTTGACAGTTCAGATTCAAATCCAATACAAATTAAAACCTTCATAAATGCTTGTACGTTTATAATTAAGTTTACTCAAAATAAGTAAATTATTTACGTAAGAGAAAATCACATTAACAGCATAGCATGTAATAATTCTATTGATATACTGTAGTACTGAGAGGTATTTCTAGATTTAGATTTATACAAACGATAATTGAAAAAATTTAGCTTCTGCGCCTACCGTACTTTCTCTCAGGGGAGTCCATTGCTGACGTCAACCGCTGTTCCAACTCCGCCTCTCACGGCCTCACACAGTCATGCTAATGGGCAGGTGACGCAAGTAGCAGCACGTGCAAATCCTCTTGTATATAGATATTTCTGTACACACACACACACACACACACACACACACACACACACACACACACACACACACACACACACACACTGGGGGCCTCGTAGCCTGGTGGATAGCGTGCAGGACTCGTAATTCTGTAGCGCGGGTACGATTACCGCACCAGGCAGAAACAAATGGACAAAGTTTCTTTCACCCTGAATGCCCCTGTTACCTAGCAGTAAATAGGTACCTGG